AGAACAGGTTAAACGGACCAACAACATTTTTGTGCTAACACTTTTCAAAGTTGTGTTAATTTTGGACCAAAATGCTGTAGTTGTTAGAATACCTTGTTGAACAATGTTGGATGTTGTGGATGATGTTAGACAAGTTTAAAAATGAGTTAAACATTTAGGTTCAAACACCATTCAGAGTTGTTGGATGACGTAAGAGCAACATGTTAAATATGATTAACTGAATATTGAGGGTGCCCAATAGGTTTCTTGGAATGCTGGCTTTGTCTTACTGAAGACTGGGATTCGGGATGCGAGATGCGGGATTCGGGAATTTAAACAGTATGTACGGGATGACGCGATTGAAGACCTTCATTGGGGACCGTCAATTTTGAAAGTTTAGTTTTTGAAACCGAAGTCACCTTTAATGGCTACACCGTCGCGCTCCATACACAGAAAGTGGTGTGCATTAGTGGCCGCTCTTAAATCCCCTGGGGACTTGTTGATAGAACTATATTTAACTTGGACCGCAATTGAAGACGATAAGTGGACCTTCGTGCAGATATGTTTCTGAATAACTTATTTTAAGTAGATACAGGTTTTTTGTCTGCCCTGCTTATCGGTTGACAACGTTTAGGGACTCGGAGATGAGCAGATTGAAAATAGCGTTGCTTACGAGGTTTTGTTAAACACTGCGTAAACACTGAACCGTCTCTAGATACGCATATAGAGGACGTTTAGATGTTATCGGAAAGCGTTAATTTATAGTTAGGATTAGGAAATCATCGTTACTGCAGGGTGTTCATTGGTTATCGCAGATCGGAGAATTCTGCGTAGTAATTCTCCATGTACTACGCAGAATTCTCCGGCTAACGGTCAGTTGCCTATGACTATTTTTTCCTCAGATGTGGAGCCTCTTTAAAACTGACCATTCTCCTGCAACGTTACACCTTCAGTCCTGCTACTAGAATTCTTAATGAAAACCCTGTTACTTTATTCCTTAATCATTTGATATTTCATAGTGTTGGAAACTGTAAATAATCCAGTCCCGGCAAAAGTATCTTACAGGAAACCGCCCGAGCTCACAACACCTTGTAATGACAGTGCGGATGAGGTAAGAACCGGCCAGGAAATTACCGTTGCTATGCGAACTTCGAATGTCAAATTCACTTCACTATAGACTGCCGTCAATAAAACCATGTAGATGGCACTGGCAATTTGAAAAAATTGCCTGAAGTTTATAAGTTGTGCTTCCAAAAGGAGTGAGGAGTAGGTTAGATGTGGGGGGGATACATAAGCGAGGACGTTAGGAAACTGAGGTTGACGTACATAAGCGACGATATATGAGACCCGCCTTAAGTGGGCCTATATAAGCGAGGACATTAGGGATCTTAGGTGGGTTTACATGAGCGCGGACATCAGGGACATTGGATGGACTACATACCAATTGAGTTGATTGGGGGACTCTAGGTGGGGGTCCATAACCGACGACATTTGGGACCTCAAGATGGGTTACATAAGCGAGGACATCAGGGACATTAGATGGACTGCATTCTAATTGAGTTGATTGGGGACCTTAGGTTGGGGTGCATAAGCGACGACATTAGGGATCTCAAGTTGGGTTATATAAACGAGGATATCAGGGACCTTAGGTGGGTTTACATGAGCGAGGAGATTAGTGACAGAAGATGGACTGCATAATTGAGTTGATTAGGGACCTTAAATGGGGGTGCATAAACGACTGCCCCCTGCACATACATATTACACTAGTTTGTAAATTTCGTTGCTGTCCCTGCACAATTTAGACGCGCAATAATCCAATTTTAAGTTTACATGAGAACGAAAACGACAAGGCAATGATTTTACCGATCTCGGCCTGAACTCGGACGCGGTCCCCTCTCTTCAGCTCCAACCTAATATCTCTTCTTTCAAGTAACTGGGTGGGTTAAAAAAATAGCGAAAACATTTGAAAGGATACGAAGTCTATTTTTCAGCGACGTTTTCATTGGCGTTGCCGTTGTCGGATCATAAGGTCCCTTTTCAAGATATCACGGTCAAAGTACCAACCAGTTCCTGCCGTGGCCCTGCAGATCATGTGAATGGGCCTTGCATATAATCGGCGGAGAGGCAAATTGGTGTTCACTAGAGAGAAAAATCTTTCCTGGCCATACACAAGATACCCATGTAACACAAGGCTAGGATTACTTTCTCCTTCGTCGAACGTGATTAATGTTTTGTGATATTCTGTTGCAGGGGAAGCCCCCGTGTGCATTGGCAAGCATATCCTCTCCTGCAAGGCTCACCATTTTTTTGGTGCTTATCTTGACGTTATTCAGTGCATGAAATGACAGCTGGATATAATGGATATATCCTCAGACTGTACACCAGTCATGCAGAAACAGAAGAAAATGCAAGCAACTTTTAGGCATTTAACGTGTATTCAAGAACGTGTAGCGAGAATTGTAATTGCACGCTAATAATGTAAATAGGCAACTTTTTATTCCTGTTTTCTTTTACACTGAATCCTTTTGGCCCACATTTTTTGTAATCATTTTCCTATTATAAGCGCAAACAAGGACAAAGCCGACCTCTTTATTTTTAGCACGTGCCTGATTGTTTTCATCTCAGTTATTCAGACCAGGGAGTAACCAGCCGGTGGACAGTCGTTTGGGTTGGGAATAATGCGAATAAATGCGTCCCCTCGCTCTCGTTCCTTTCCTTTTTGCTAACATCCCTCTCTGGACAGATAATTGCATGATCGAGTTCTAGATTTTGTAAATATTGAGGAAAGTTCTCCTCTGCAGTTTTTATGCGAATTTTCACTGCAGGATTCTGTCCTCGGACGTAAGAGTTCTCTCTTTTATAGCGCAATGGGCCTTAGCTTTTGCAACAAACCGTCACGTCACAAAATATCCACTCTCCGAAGCGTTGATAACAATTTTTAAATGAAGTCAGTAGATCTTTTTCTCTTTTCTCTTTGCGTTGTTTGCTAACCAGTGTGGCTATTTTGTATCATGTGACGGATTATTAAAAAAAGCCGAGCTCGCCGTTTAACTGTGGCAGTGTAGATTTCTTCAAATTGTACCAGTTAATCGTACTGTCTGCGTCTATTGTGTACAACGTTTTGTAACGGCTCTGTTTTAATTAAAGGGACAGTGTCCCGATTATGCGCACGCGCGAGCGTCATCTGTTTTTTCTTCAAAAGACAATAGAACTGTCAAATTGACTCGACAAGATTTCCTTCCGGACCGCACCGCCGACAGAGATTTGTTGTTTGTATTCTCAAGTAATATTTTAGACTTTCGAAGAAGTCTTTCGTCTTATATAAAAATTTGGCTCGCGGTTCGAAGACTCATCGCGATTTTATCGCTAGCTGGGCCGCCTCGCGACCCGAAAATCTCGTTCCGCTCGCTTTAAAAACATATTTTCTAATTTGAAACTCGTGTCAGAGGTCAATCACTTTAAGTCCAGTAATATGTGCCTGATTTGCTCGCGTTCTAGCCTCAAACGTTTGAAAGACATAAATAAAAATGCAATCTCAACGCTATGAATCATCACAAAGTTTAGTCAAAAATGATATGATTTCATCTCACTAGTTTTTCAAAACATGTAGCGCCTGTTTGTTTGATTTTGTCGGCCGTAGGGAGATTCATTTAAAAGTTTACTAACGCGTCGTTGCAAAACATTCTGCTTCACGAAGCTCCCCTTCACAAGATCTCCTCAGTCACATCAATGTCTCAACGGTTTCTTTCTTACAGTCTTTATTGTTGCTGTTTCATTTCTGTGTATTCCTTTCACAATTATCTGAGTTTGTATGGAAGCTAGCAGAAGAAATAAGCCTTCAATCGGTTTCAAAGTGCTTCCAATCTTTTGATCCTCCGGACAACGGTAATAAAAGTAACGCCAAAAAATCCAGATTTTGCCCAAATCGAAACTTAACAGGAACAATATATCATTGATCTATAATCCTGAGAAGTCTTAGTGTCGTATTGAACCCGGCCAAGCGCGATGCAAATGGATTTTTCAAGATTCTCTTACTCTCCTCGCATCTTTTGATTTCGCGACATCCTGTCCAAAAATCAAAGTTTGGTGCATGCGCAGTAACGGGATACTGTTCCTTTAAGTTTAGACGAAAAACTCTGTAACACACCGGAACTTTTAATTGACTTTAGAAAGCTTTTTTAAAGTGTATTTGCCGGACTCTCATTGCACCTTCACTGTCAACATTTACCAGGTACAAGAGAAAATGAGATTATGTTTTTATTAATATAAATAGAAATTGCTTTGAAACCATCGAACTGTTTTTCATATTTATTAATGGTTAGTGGAATTTTTCTAATTTGTAATGTTTTGTCCGGACTGATTAAATGGAAATTTTCTGCGTTGCCTTGTGTCAAGAGAGAATGTTGGACTGTAGAGATGCGGAGAACTGGAGGCGAGTGAAGTATTATGGTCGAGCGTGAGAGTGGGTCGATGTTTGATCGAATTGCAGTATGGGACGGTCTTTAGGAGGCTATCATTTCTTTCATTTCTTTTACTGGCTATTAGCAAAACCGACTCAGTCTTAGCGCGAGAGTCGGGCGAGAATCTGGGAAAATGACTCGAGAGGACTGTAACAAAGTTTTGCAAGGAGATTTAGCCCACGTACCGTTGAAAGCTGGCTTGAGAATCAAATATACCAAGTTTGGGTTAAGAGTACGATCTCGTCTGCACTTATACGCGGATATTTTTGAAGAAGGTGATTTTTTTCTGCGCTTTCAAAGAGTACGCATCCACACGTAGCGTATTCATAACGTTTATTCCCATCTACACGAAAACGCTTTAAGATGCAATAGCGATAGCGTCCCTTACAGGGCGTGCGCTGTATGATGTGCGACACACCTCCGTTTTTGTCCGAAAACGCCGTTTCTGTGCGAACGAAGGCTAAAACGGCCGTGTTCAACGGATACGTGTAGACGGCGCTTAATTAAAGCTTTTCAAATAACGAGGACACTAGAGTTTTTCAAATAAAGAGGACAAGATATCCAAGAACTGCAGGTTGTTTAATAAATTCTTTTTGCTATCTACAGGAAGAAATAAATACCTTCGTACAAACATTTATTTACAACGCCAGAAAAGTGCAACCCCTCTGTCAAATCTATTCAAGTCTTCAAAGAAATAAATCCCTAATTACACAGCAACCAAGCTGTTGTGTGTGAACACTTTAAGATTATTATATCTCTATGGGTTTTATAACAGGTTTTCTAATGTGCCGCATGGTGGAACCTGGTTCCGTGGGCTTGAATGGCGCTAGTGACCCATAGGGCCTGGGGATGGGTAACTCGGAGTCGTCATCTGGGATATAAGCATTGGGTCGAGGTTCAGCAGTGGTGTAAATACCGCCAGGCAGGCGATAGTGTTCTTCTTCCTCTTCACGCTGAAAAAAAAAAGAGTCGGAATACTTCGTGAGACGAGTTTTAAAATAAAACAAAAAGGCACAAAGTATGGCAAGCTTGGCATCAAACACTAAGTGAAATCACCTCTACTGCACTTTCAAAAACGACGAAGTTATTATTATTTTTATCCCCGTAAAAGAGGTATTCTGAACAACGTAGATCTGGCTTTTGAGTGAAGAGATAAAATTCATAAGGACTGCAACAGACTTGTCGTATTTTTACAACGATGTACAAGTTAAAAATGTAAATGTCACGAAAAAACAAATACTTTGTTTGTGTTTCAACTAGCTTACAGACATCCAATAGAGGTAAATTATTACATGTAAATTAATGAATTCTAAAATGATTAAAACCCCTTGTGGGCTCCCCGAATTTCCAGTCGATGCTCTTGTTATGCGGCCATGATCCCTCCTTTATGTTGAACCCCACTTTGGAATCTGATTGGAATTGTATGAAAACTTACTTGAGGCGTTGATCATTACTTCTTTTTTAGAAGTGCTGAAACAATAAGTTCATTTATTCAACTTTATTTAATAGTATTATTTTTAATGTCACTATAGTATACCTCCTTCCTTTCTATCAACTCCTTCTCCCTGCGTGCTTCATCTCGTACCATTCTAAGCCATTCTCTCTCGGCCTCTTCATTAGGAGCCTCGCCTCTCTCCATGCGCACATAACTTTGTTCTAGCTCTTGTTCTTTACCCTTCACTTCTTGTTGAAGCTTCATGGCTTCCGCTTGGTTCATGGATAGTTCCGATACCAGCGCCATCATTTTACGCGTCGTGTCCTTTATCTTAGCCTGATATTCATTTACCTGAAGAAACAAACGTTTATTTATATCAAAAAGAGATTTTAAAACAAAGGTCAGTAGTACGTTCCAGGAACCGGTTGTTCAAACGTAGGATCAGCGGCGCTATTCAGTATTCACCCAAAGAGCTTGGTGGTGCCCAGACAGAAGAACAAAACTCAAGTTCCAATCAACAATACTCCCTAAAGCGCCTATAACCTAAAGGTTTTTATTTTTTTAATTGAAAGTGCACACTACTAAGAGGAACCTTTGCACACAAAATTCTGCATAGATTTTTTTGCAACGTTCAAATTTGCCGCCATTTCGACACATCATACGTCTTAATCTTCTCTCGGAAACCTCCCCGAAAGCCGGGGAAAACCTAAAAAACAAAAAAAACGAAATTACAAACAAACCTTCTTGGCTAATTCCAGGGTATCTTCCTTGCCAGTTTCTGATTTTTTCTTTGTTCTGTCCGCTAGTCTGGTTACTTCTTCAAAGATTAAATCTTTTTCTAAAAGTTTTTCTTCCTTCTCAGCTAGCCTTAGTTCCAGTTCTTCAATTTTCTTAGCGAGCACCTCAGGTTCGGGATCTGCGCCTCCCAGAAGCCTAACACGGGTCTCATCCGACGGATCTTCGAGACGTTTCTCGAGCATGGCGAGTCTTTCTCGACAAGAGACAAGCTGAAACCGAACAAGAGAATGTCAACACTCCTATCGCTTCTGAAACATGTTTCCCGAAAGGCCGGTAACTTTTTGGGCCGGAAAGCAAATTTCAAATTCAAAAACTATTGAATAGTAGCATAGTCCCTAGCTCGCAAAACAGTCAATTTTGCTTCTTTAACTGATATTTTCATTGTATCATTTTCAAAATTATTGAAACTTGAATGCAAACACGGCAAAAATAAATCAGCTTTCCGGGCCCGAAAAGCTTCCAGGTCTTTCCAGAAACGTGCAGCTAAAGTCAACTTCGTCCATAAGAGAAAGGTACGTTTAGTGTCTCACCAAGGGCAAAGAGGTATCTCTTAGACATGCATACACAGACCTTCCAACTCCTAATCAACCGACAAAATGGAGCTTACTTTCTTGCCGTTGGTTGTGTTTTCTTTGCGAAAAAAGTATTTTTAGTCCACAGCGTTAAAGGACTTCACCAATTCCGTGCGTGTTCAAATCTAAACTTAATTTGGATGTAATTCAAATCATTCATGCACAGTCTTGAACACCTACTGACAATTATCTTAGAGAACTAGCCGAGAACATTCGGAACTGGTAGCTTGATAACAACTTCACTGTGCACTACATCCCCACGAAGGTAACGAAAATTCCGTAAGGGGGGGGGGGGGGGGACCCAAAAAAAAGGGAGTTCGGGGGGGGGGGGGGGGGGGCGGTTAAGGCCTTTTTTTCGGGGGAGCAAAGGAAGGTTGGGGGGTGGTTGCGCTCCGGCGGCGCGCTACCTTTGCTTGTTAGTGAGACATTCTATTTTATAAAAAATCAATTTTATTTGGATTAAAAACAAATCTTTTGTCGACATGTTCAAAAACCATCCCAAAAATTTAGAAGAGAACTAGCAGGAAACTCTGGAGGTGGGTAGTTTTAAAACACCCCCACTGTGCACCACCCCCCCCCGGGGGGGAAAAAAATGGGGGGGGGGGGGGGGGGGGGTGAGTCCAAAAGTAGGCAGTTTCAGAGGTGGTGGGGGTGGCCTTTTGAGGCCTTTTTTTCCGGGGATCCAAGTAACATTGGGGAGTTGTTGCTCTTCGGCAGCGGCTTACCGTTTATTATTAGCTAAGAAATATCTCTACAGGGCAAAATTGAAAATATTAGACCATGTATTAACATGAATGAGAAGATTTTTTCTCGCTTAGTCTCAGACACGATTATATTTCGCATGATAGTATACTGCAACAGCATTTTTGACGGAAATATTATTTTCATGGGGTACCGAACCAAGACGGAAAATCATGGAAATTCCAGGGGGTAGGGGGTATGACAAGCACCACCTGGAATGAAAATTCCAAGGGGGTGGGGGGGGAGGTAAAGTGCCCTCCTTCGGGAGGGGGGGAAATGGATCAGTTTTTTTTGGGAACTACACAATGAAAAAACACAATATAGGGGAACAAAAGCTGTTCTCGGTTATCAGATATGGCACAAATGTCAACATTTCAGTGCACACTATGGGTATTTTTAAAGCACTCAACCGAACAAAGGGTCCCGGACACCTATAGTCAACACAGTTTCGGGACGAGCACCCAGAAAATCACGGACGCAAAAACGCAGTGATAACCTAATTCGGGTCCGTGTAGGAAGAGTTAAGATTAAAATCAGTCGCTTATAACCTACTTGTATTTGAAGGGTAACCAGTTCATTATCCAGAGCTCTCTTGTTTGGCATGTTCTTTTGAGCCACTGCAACAGATCGCTTTAGCTCATTTACCTGAAGGACAAGCATTCAGTTAGTTAGAATCTAAGGCCACCTTTGTGAGATAGATTATTCGGTCAATTTGCCTCACATAACATCCCCCAACTAAAACTGACGGAAAGCAGTCCGTTGAGGTTTCAATTTTCGTTTTGCTCAGTTGATTATTTCCACGAGCTCCGCGCAAGAGGAACTGCTAAAATTCGCGTGCGCGAGCCAATCCCAACTTTCGCTTGTTTTTTCTCGGGACATTGGTTTTTGTGATGTAGTCTGGATGACAGCTGCAGTTTCTTTTTTGCTTAAGATAATGAAATACGCAGGAGGGATTAACTTATCATGCTCTAAAGCGCCAATTTTATGATTTTAATTCTAAGCGTCATCCTTAGCGTTGAGCAAACTACCCGTGAACAATGGTCAGCATCAAATCAAACTCGTTGTCAGTCTCTTAAGAAAAGAAACATGTAAATGGACTCACATCGACACGAACGATAAACTCTTAAAATATTTCATTGTTACCTCCATCTTCAAAAAGCGTATCTCTTCTTCTCTTGCTTTTAGCTCCACGTCACCATTACGAATCATCGTGTCTAGGAAGAAAGAATAAAATAGAATATTTGATATATCTGATGTTTAAGAGACACTTTACACCTCAAAAGGTACAGTAGCCGTTATTGTACATATGGCGCATTCGATTGTCATGCAAAGAAAGAGAAGCTTTGCCAGAGGAAGCAGAGTCAGTAAACGTAAAGGCCTCTCGTCCGTGTTTAAAAACTGTTAAAACACTCTTACCTTGTATGTTAAGCTTCTCGTAGAATACACAGACTTCCTCGTTTGTTTCGATGAGGTGTATTCCCCTGAACGAAACAGGAAAAAAAAGAACACTGAATGTAAAAGATGCGTGGAAGTGACCTTTTCAATAAAAATCGCTGTCATACAGTGTATTAAAACAGAACGGGAAAACGCTCGAGTTTCCTTCACTCACATATCATTTCTTTCTTGCACGGCGCGTTCATAGCGTTTCCGTAATTGGACCATGTTTTCTTCTGCTTTGTTAATGAGATCGTTAAGCTTGGCGATATCCAACCTCTGAGAACAAAAGAAATTAAAAAGAATTTAAGTTTCGCCTTTTCGTCGATTTGTCGAAAGCAATTCTAGCCTGCGTAGCATGGCGGTTTTGGTTGGGCGCACTAAGTAATAAAGGCGGGCAAGGGCAGAGAAACCGCGAGGAGATTGGGGCGGGAGCCGCTCGTTCTCGCGCGAATTTCGCACACGATTATAATCTCCAAGAAATTCTCAAGTAAGTGGGCCTTAATTGTATTCTGTTGTTACACCAGACCTGTCCAAACTAATTGGCGGAGTAACTGTCAATACCAAACATTTTTTAAGTCTAGTTTCATCACGCAGTTCACTCTAAAATGGAATGTTTGGTCACCGGAAACGATCTCCAGACTGGAGAATTAAAATTAAAGAAACGCTCCCCAGTTAAGGGTGCTGACAGGTGTACTATGGACGGCAAATGAAGCGTTTCGAAAACTTAACGCTGATATCAAAAGGTCGTGTGATCACCATCTTAACGTGGGCTTGCTCGACTTTTTATGAAGGGTCGAGACAGCATGACGTTTCCAAATATATCCGGATTTCCAAATAGCTTGGACAGTGCGATACTTCTTTTTTGGGAGCGAAACTATCAGTGTGGACAGGTTAGCCTTCACTTTCCGAACATACAGATACTGTTAAAGGGACTGTGTCGTGATTATCTCGTTCATTTTGTAAATAATGCCAATCGTGCGTCTTTATTCGCCATGGAACTTGAGAAATTACGCGTGAATGGCAAAATCACACCATTATACGTCTCTGGGAAACTGTCCACCTACCCCTCCCCTGAAACAACATTAACATTAATTTAAATCTTGACAACCGAAATAATTGTTTTCACCAACCAGTTGTTCTCGTTTTTCTCTGTTCTCCTCTTCAGTTTTGGATCTTTTGCTCATCTCATTTCGTAAACTATCACGGATCACAACCGCGTTATTCCGTTTCAACCGAGCTTTCTGTAGAAGTCTGTGAAAAGAAATAGAAAATTAAAAAAAAACTTAGCAATGGAAACAAACTGCACTTGTTTTGCAAATCCCAAAAAGATGGTATGGAAAAAAAAATTCAATGCTGTAAGAGTCATCAGCAGTTCTAAACATGTCCCGGTTCCATTTTCTCCTTACCACACATTATTGTACCCAACAGCAAAGGGAAATACAAACCAAAACATACATACTAAAATGGATAAAAATTTAAAAATCGATATAAATAAGAATAAAAGCTGTACAGGCACATCTGAAATCAAAACCTCCAGTTTAATAGTGTTGCTTAACTGTTCTTCACACAGTGAAACCTGTAGGCACAGGCCAAACATTACAGGAGGAATGTTGACAAAGAAATCTAATCAGCCACAAGCATTACTAACCTGTCTTTTGCATTGACTTTTGAGCGAAGAATTTCAATTTCATTTTGAAGTATCTTAATTTTTTCTCTCATTTCCGCCGCTTTCTGCATTAAAAAGGAGAAAAAAAAACGTCAGTGCGGGTTTGCGTGTAAGCGCCAAAGCATCTACTAAAATGCAATATTTGATCTGAATTTACCTGAGTGCTTGTTTGAATTAAGTTGACGCATTTGTTTCGTTCGTTTTTTATCACATCATACAGTTTAGCAAAGTCTGAAAGCCTGTTAAGACAATTATAAAAAATATTTAAAAAACAACGTTAAAACAAGCTTGAGGGAAGAGCAGCTCTTACACTTCACCACAATGCTAACAATACCTAATAACGCTAACAATTTAAACCCACTATCCGTGAGTGAGCTTCGCAATTCACCAATCAATACCAACCACGGTGCCACATTTGAAGACCTGCAGTCCAAACCGCACGAAGAATGACAAAGTAGCCTGTTCATTGGCCCTCTATTTTGTCTTAAGAGATTTTTGTGGGTCCTTGTGACCTTAATCAAGACTTAAGTTCCACGTGAATTGCTCACTTTTGCTTACTCGCGCGCTGGCACGCGCTGTCACATGTGGCACGCGCGCGAGTATCCAATAGGGCACGTGAGCTAATTTAAAGAACTTGTTAACGGTATTTAGTCTTGTACCCTGGAGAAGGCAGCATTGCCAAAACATCGGTTAAGACTCTTTTGAACAGCGTTGATTTTACAATTTTATAACCTTTATTACGATTTTGACGGCCGTCATCCTCGAATCTCTCCAAAGTCTCTACTTAAACTTAGAGAAAATAAATAACTTCCTTGATACACGTATGTATTGCAAGTTATAGAAACTCGTTTTTTCTGGCTCAAGCGCCAAGGGCGTGGGCTATAAATCCAAGCGGAAAAAAATCGGTCCATCACTTACAGAAGGACCTCGCACTCGGTTAGTATTAAAAAAATATATCTACGGTTGGTGTATTTTGTACGTGGACCAAAATAGATAACATTCATTTATAATTATTTTCATCACATTGTATAAAACAAGAAACTCTCCAAACTCAGTGTCACTAACCTATGTTGCATTTCAGCATATTTCTTAGCACTGTCCTGAATGCTGAGATTTTTGGTTTTTAAGTCCTCAAGAGCCCGCTGGTATCTCAACTGAAATACAAGAAACCAAAATAACTTTGAAAAACCAGGGAAGCCATGGTGTATAATACTAGTACTCATACACCTAGCCAACCATACAAAAGATCTGATCATGTGTTAGTTCACAACTGTTTAAAACCTTACAGTTGATATAGAGATGTAAAACATTTTCAAAGAAGAGTTACATGAAAACTGATTTTTTTAGTTTACGAGTGAAAACGGTGGACTAGGCCACATCAATATTGTGCAAGTAAAAAAAATTTACATTTTTTACCACTGTTTTACTTGACAGTATAGCTCTTACACTTCTGTAGTGTAGCCTACCTCAGCTCGCATGTAATCCCTTGCTTTTTGCTCTCTCTCATCTGCCTGTTGAGAAGAAAATGAAACTTTCATTATTAAACTTAATAATAGAATCTTCAGTTAAGTACATCTTAACTGTTGTATGCATGACATATATAGTCAAACCTCTCATAAGTCACCACCCAAAATGATGTTTGGCCACAACAGAGTTGGAAGACGTTCACTTATACAGACAACTCTGGCCTTGTGGACAACCCGCTGTAACAGACACTGAGAATATAGACAGCAGCTACATCCCAGGCAAAATATATTACAGACATTTGACTGAAATAACTCCTGCTATTACAGACTCTCGCTAGTGAGGACACTAACTTGAGGTCCCAACAGTGTCTGCTGTAAAGGGAGTTGACTGTACTTATTATTACAACAAACGATGTCTCATTAAAGAGCAAAACTTTAGTTTATTACATTGTAAAGATACCTTAATCTGTGCTAATCTTGTTAAATCAATGACATCCACTCTGAGCTCACTTTGTTCCATTAACAATCGTTCCTCTTCTTGAATCATCTGTTCAACTCGGGCTCGTTCATGGGCAGTGAGAGCATTCTGCATGCAAAACAACATTTTATTATGAAAACAAAAGAAAATCTCAAATGACACTCATACAACACAGTAAATCTCTTTCTCAAGAATCACTGGGTTGTCAGGAAGAGGATTGTGTGATTATAATTCTGTTCTGTAATATACAATGTACTGATCTTTTTCCAAGGACCTTCATAAATTATATATCATTAATTCTGAATGTTCATATACAGTGCAGTCAGACATGTACATCTTGTAAAATTATCAAAATTATCAATTATCTTCTATGGTGGCATAGATGAGCTATGGGTTCCAGTGACAAGAAGTGGGGTTATAATTGTAACAATTTTACATGAATTAACTGTATGGCAGGATTCACACCAAAAGCACTGTCACAATAACTGATACAAGGCTTTCATACTTTAGTACACTACGTGTAGCTAACCTGTTGTGCAAGAGTTCTCTTGGTAACGTCCACTTCCCTCTGTAATTCTTTCCTCTTTTCTAACAAAGTCCCATCATCTCTGGGAGCACTGTCAACTTGTGCCTTCACTTTGTCATAAACTGATCTCACATGTGCAAGTGCATCTTCTGCCACTTTCATTTGCAATTCACTCTTCTTCAAAGCTCTGTCAAATTGGCAGTACAAAAAGCACAAATTAAACCCACACGCATGACAAACATCAACAATAATGCCTATATTATTACTATTATAAAATGAGCATTTATAAAAGGGAAACATTTAATAATGCTTCCTTGTGTCTAATGACTAGAACAACTATTAGTTTTTAACAATTTGCAGACCTGTATAAAACAATACTTATTAGATTAAAAAGTATAGAACTGATTAAGAACACAAAGTGAAACAACAACAACAAAAAAGTACTTGTGATTCAAGGTACATCATGTACAACAGAAAATTAAAAATTCAACCACTGCCATACTTGAGATCTCTTTCCTTTTCTCTCATCTTCCTTGCATGAATATCATGGTTGGATTTCTTCTCTATAGCAGCATGTTTCAAATTCAAATCTAAAGTTCCCCTGCGAAAAAATGTTACCATGTTAATAGCATTTGATATGGCTATAGTTGCACCTAACACATACATCATGTACATTGTTTTGAACTCTTAGTTTTTCTTGATAAGTAATAAACGAGACAATTTTTTGTTAAAGAAATGTAGGGTTTTACAGTATACCTGTCTCCTAAAAATTCAGCCTGTCTCTCCTTTGCAAGTTCAAATTCTTTTGCCAAAAAATCTACCTCTCTTTCCTGAAACAAATAAAAAAAAAACCTAGTACACACTGTACAATGTAATAGCATTTTTTAAACGTCAACATCTTAAATGTATTAAAGCAGTGGTGAGCACTAGTCACTCACACACTCAACTGGGACCTGAACAATGTACAACATACATGTACATTGCTCCGTACCTTGGATTCAAATATATGTCGCTGTCGATCAAGTGCTTCTGAGAGATCTGTCTTCTCCTCCTCCAGGTAATGCTTCTTACTTTCCATTCTTTGCAGCTCTTTGGTCACCTCACTAACATTCCCATCAAGATTTGCTCTCTTTTCCTCATTTTCTCTATAAAGCATATGTTATCACGATGATTAGCTTTTAAGACTGTATTGATACAGGTATGTTTATTCCAGAACCACAACTATACCACCTTTAAATCTAGCAATTAAAGGCTCAGTGTAAAGATTGCCTACTTGAACATGTACATATAAATAATTATATAATGTACAAATATGTTATGTACAGGTCAAACTTGATTTTGGGTTAAAATTTTTTAACCTCAATTGATTCTCAATTTCCTAACAACATTTCATGTCTAGTATAAATTTACCTGAGTTGTCTTGTCAAAAGATCAGTCTGTTTGGTGATGTGTGCTGGTTGTGAGTGTACTTGAACCAGCTGATCCTGAGGATATCAAAGAAAGCAGATAATGGAAATTAAAAAAAAAAAAATGCATTGTGACAAGTACAGTGTATTCACATATTCATACATCATGGGCAGCAGCTTAGGTAATTCAATTGACCAATTTTCAGGTACATACAATGTACAAGAAACGACAGAAACATAACATTTTTCTCACCCCATGATACAAAAGAACAACATACAAAGTACTGACAGTAGTTAGTAAACAGACAAGGTGCACTGTACATGAACATTTACAGGGGTGTATCGCGCAGATGGCTCAAAAGATTCTGGAATCCCTCATTTTCTCTTTGTAGAATTTTAAAACTTAAGTCAATTACATGATGTAACATCCTCGGAGACCCAGGGGCAGATAGTGGGGTCAAGCGAAAGTCTAAACAGGCGGAAAAATAAGGCATGAAGAAAAGTAAAGAACGGCCAGAAGAGCCCCTGGGGACAATGTCTTACCAGACCAGTTCCAAACGGTCGCCGCTGTTCTGGCTTCTGATTGGTGCCAGAAAACTTGTGTTTTTCTGGCACTGTAAGAGTAAATGAAGTATCCTGCCTAAGAAAACAACATAATGACCCCAACAGGGCCTGAAGAACCTGGACCTCTTGATTAAACCACAGTCCTGAAAAGCCCTAACCACAAGTCCAACAACCCTCCCCCCCTCCCCCGTAACCACTGTAAAACTGCAACATGTACAATGTAACTGCCACCTTAGAATTGCAGAAACGTTTTTTTTACTACAAATGTAAAAATTTTACTTCACTAAATATTGTGACTGACCCTCAGTTTCTGTTGTTCATCCAAGTCCTCCTCCACTTCTTTTCGCAATGCATTCACTTGTGTTTCCCGGTTTTTGACTTCTTCCTTGAGGCTTTTAGCATCAATAGTTCTTTGTGCAATTTCCATTTTAAGTTCCTCAACAGATTTTTGCAGTTCTTTAACCTGTTTTTCAATTTCTCCAGGTTTGGGCATCCTAGAATACTCTCTTTCAAGCATCATTTTCTCTTCACGTAAACCCTCCAGTTTAAATTCCAACTGGTATTGTCTTTCATCTGCCTGAGCAAGTTCATTATGATGTTTTAGCAGTTCTTGTCTTAGTTTATTGACTTCAGTGTTGTCACCATCAGGAAAGCTATCTCCCTTTTCTAGTTCAGCCCTTTGTCGCTGCACCTCTTGATGCATTTCCTTTGCTTTGTGGAGCAGTGAAGATTCCTGCTCTCTGGTTGCCTTAAGACGCTCATGAAGACTGGTATATTTTGCTTTCAGCTTGGCTACTTTTTCACCAGCAAGTTTTCCTTGTGAAAATAGCTGCACAGAGGAAACGAGGTAAACAGGAAAGCAGTATATAAAATTATACATGTACAATGTTACTAGAAAATACAACTAGAGTATGTTCTCTTTTGGTCATGTTCAGCATTAGAACGTAAATGTATCCTATAAGTGTTGACCAGAGAAAGATCAGAGCACTCAAAAAAGACAGTTTTGATTCCATCGGATTGTAGCGAAAGAGTGTACAGTGGGCCGTCTTTCGTCCAAATAATACAGAAATAATACTACGACGACCTGAAAAATAAGGACCACTATTATAAAGCTTACAAATTTTTATCAGGCCGGTCATTCGGACTCTGAAAGAGAAATCCTTAGAAATTACACCACAATGTATACTTCTTTAAACAATGAACTGGAAAAATAATAAACGACGATACAAGTTTAATAATAAGATTACCTCGTCTAGGCACTGAAAAGCTGGGCTCGCAGTCACATCGATTGGTCCTTCCTCTTGATTCAGACGAGGAGCTATAGCCCAGATCGCTGGATCGATTTCTCTGCTTAGAGATTCCCTTTCTTCACCCTCACTCATTCTGGTTGTAATGTCCTATTCAGCTGGTGCAACTAGAAAACAGAATTCAAGAGTTCGAGCTTAGCCTCCATCTTTGAAGGAGAAATCAAAATGGAGTACGTTTCTAGGAAACGAGGCTGTCAACAACCTCCCGCCCCAGGCTCTGCTCTTTCAACAAAAAGCAGCTGTTGAGGGACACTATCCCTTCGGCATACACAGAGTAGTATGTTTATCATGTGACAACAAAATGGTTGACTTGCAGAGAACTTTGTGCTTTGATGAGGATATTTTACCATGCTTGTTAAAGGAAAGGGAAATATATAGTGGGCAAAAGGCAGAACAGGAAAATGGTATTGTTATGACAGGTTATTTCTCACGCTGTAGCTTTCTATTCATCTGATTCTTGTGTGTTTTCGGTCGAGGTAAACCAGAAACTCAAAAGGGTTTTCAACCCTTTATGAGTTTCTGGTTAAACCTAATTATAATTATCTACATCTACATCTACATAAAATTTAAAATCCTTCAATGGGGGGTACCCACCACTACAAGACATGTATTTGATAAAATTCAAAAAAATAAATAAATAAATAAATTGGAAATTGAAAAAAACAAAAAAAACAAAAACAAAAAACAAAACAAAACAACTATCAATGTAGTAAATGTCACTTGCTAGTTAAAAACTTCAATTACTCTAATCTAATTTAAGTGCTTTCTGAAACAATGGGTTTTTTCTATATTTACAACATTGCTAGGCAATGAATTCCATTCCTTTATTGTCCTGCAATAAAAAGAGTTTCTGCAGGCCTCATGATCTCTTGCAAAAAAATTTCATCAGCAAAAGGTTTCAATACGCTAAAGCTTATGTTAATTGTTCCCTTTGTTTTTTGTTCTGGGCTTTAGATGCAGCTACGGTGAAAAAGAGGCTTCAGGTTCACATTGTTGGACAGGAGAGAGATAATGCATTAATTGTATCTTGGAATGATACAAGTCCTGGTGGTTCTGTAAGTATTGAAATAATTCTTTAGTCCAAATGGTTAAGATAGCAGCTAGTCTCCCTCGTAGCCGTTTTTTGAAGCAGAACTGCAGAAATTTTTAAAAATAGTGTGACTTTTATAACCATCACACTGAAGATGATGGATGTACCGTCGAAACATGTTTGTTGAAATTAAAAAGTCGCACTATTTTTAAAGATTCTTCAGTCATATTCACACGCAGATCCACACCGGTTTCCACGGTTTTACAAAAATTGGTCCGATATTTTATGAATAAATATATTTTAATAAAAATAAACCTTCCAAGTTGAAATCTGGCCAATATCCTATAGGCATGAATTACTCAGAAACCCAGGAAAGGGGGCATCCTTGTTCCCAGGGTTCTCTCTTACCGTCCCTGCAAAGGGACAGAGAGAGAGACCCTGGATGGGTCTGGTCACGTGGCTCCAGAACAACTCCTCCCTAACAAGAACCCAACAAGAACTCCTCCCTCAAATTCTGAGGGAGGAGTTCTTTGACTCACAATTTTGTGTCTCGTTCATGCAATGATCCCAAGGGTTCGCAGGAGGAAGATAGATTTGCTAACCCTATAACTATAACTGAAACCATGGGAAATTTCTGCCTAAACAGAACTGCCACTAGATAAACAAGTTTATTATTTTACTAGAGGAGAAGGCAAAAACTTGTGTTGTTGCAGTTTAATTGACACCAATCACTAATAAAAATCTACGATCTTGAGTTCTACACTTTTTTAAGTGTATTTATTTTGAAGGGAAAATCCCTCTATGTTAAACTTGCATTGAAAGTATCAATTTTGCCTGACAGCGGCTGCTGGTTATTGGGCCAAATCAGTATACTGCACAACCTACACCATTGAGGGTCTTCGGTCTTCGGGAGCAGGGACTTCATATTTGCTGAACCGTCAAAATATATTTTAGATCAAGTGACTTTCCAGAAAGCTATAGTCTGAAATAAAACGTCAGCTTTCTCCACCCCCTAACCTTTGTTATGATGGACAATAGAAAAACTTATCACTTTTAGTGGTAGATAGAGATATATAGTTCTTACAAACAAATGTAAAGGATGACCACAATGCGACAGATGACAACAGGAAATCATGCAGTATAAACAGAGAAAAAACAGACAACATAACCTTCCAAGCGAAAGGCTTTCTTGTATATGGTCCATATGAAAACTTTATTTAAAAACATAATCAACCCAGTGATTTCTTAATTTTCTCTAAAGCTAAGCATACCTAACCCTCCCTCCAGAAAACTATTTTAAAAAAAGGAACGATTAACGATTGGCGGTTGTGCATGCCAATTTTAACAAAGATGCTTATGGCCATTCAGTTGATTTTAAACGACGACAAAAAAAATTAAAAGACACAAAGCCATCGATAAAAATATACTCTTTCTAGATTCTGTTTACCTCTTTTCATTTGAGCAATCAAACTGTGTCTGGGCGGCGTATTCTCTCTTCCTGTTGCTTTGCCCTATTTGATTCATTTTCAATGTCTGTGAGGACGTGGCGACGCTTGATACATCTTTTTGGTGCCCTTTCGAACTATTATGATCTTAGTCTTGAAAACAAATACATTAATCAATTTTGTTTTCTAACGTGGCCTCCACATGTAACATAGAAATGGCAATTCAAATCCAGTGCGTTTTGATCGGTATGAATACCACTGCATAAATAATTTTTGAATGCACACTAGGTGAATCCGCGATTTCCTCAGCATGTGCCAATATTTGAAGAGGAAAGTATCCCGATAGAATAACATCCAGATATTCTGAAGTTCATTATGCTTTTGCTTTTAAAGGATTTTGTGCATTATTTTCGGTATTCAAAATGTCTTGACTAGTCATGACCTTTAAGACAAGGTCAGACACTGTTTGATGGCTGCACTTTGCATCTACGTTCTGCAGAGACAAATCTCACACTTATCCACCCCTCCCCCAAATCGTTTGTTTGTAATCTCCCAGATGCTGGGGGACACGTGACCAGACCCAACCAGGCTCTCTTGGCAGGTAGGAGAGAGAACCTGGGAACGAGGTTGGAAAGGGGACTGTTGTCTACCATAGTTTTTGGAAAGTTGTGACACAAAGGAGCCCGCTGTCCAGAGAAAAGGGGTCTGGAAGACTAGATAATAAATGGTAGGAATTTTAGAGGCTGGGGCAAATGGGAGAGGCTTGCTAAGAATTTGTTCATGTGTGATAAGTTATATCAGCCTTTGCTTCCAAATCTGTGTTTTTGTGAGAAAAGGTGGGGGAGAGGGGGGGGGGGGGGGGGGGGGTTGGGGGGTGAGGTAGGATGTGGTATGTGTGTGGGTGGTTGGGGGGTGGGGGGGGGTAGTGTGTGTGTATTTGTTGTTTTTGAGTGGTTGGTTGTTGTGGTGTGTGGGTTGGTTGGTGGGGGGGTTGTAGGGGAGGGTGGGGGGGGGAAGGGGGGAGGGTGTTAGGATGGTTATAGTGTACCCAAACAATCCACATACACTATAAATTGATAGTGAGTGCCTATGTTATGCATCCTTATTACCTTCTCTTTGACCAGCGTTTCATTATTTAAGTTTATGTTCTGGTTTAATGTTATCCCTGGTTTAAATATTATTTTCCTCTGTTTCAAACTCAAGGCAAACAAAAGAAAAATTCAAGGTTTAAAAATTTTACCCAAGGGATAAAATTGAACCACAACTTTATATACATCATTAAATTCTAATTATACCTGTTCCTTTGTTATGTTGGTAATTGAGAAATTTGAACTTTGCATATATGCCTGTGTTTTTTTTTCCAGGTAGTGAATGTCTTCTATTTTGCTATTACATTTTTCTCTAGGGAAGCTATAAAGTGACATTTTTTGGACTTTATGAGCCTTTTCAGCACCAACTTAGGGTATGCACGTGTATTTATTTTGAGCATTCAGTGACTTTACATTAAGAGTAATAGAGTAATTATTTAGGATTGAAAATTAGAGCTACGGTATGACATCCTGCATATTGTGCATGTCATTTTTATTTTTAAAAAATTAATTTGGAGATTTAATGGGACAGTTATTTAAACAGAGTTTAGCCTGTGTTTAAGAAAACCATGTTCTAAGCCATTTTCAGTTTGCCCAAAGCTTTTATCTTAACTCAATTAAGCATACAGTGTGGACTGGAAAAGCCCTAATTTTCTTAAATCAACCGACTAAGAAAGAGGTCTGGAGGTGAAATGATTTCTAAAACTGTGGCCTAAGTTAGAGTACTTCATTTAAATAATCAAGCCATTAATTTTTTAAAGAATTAGTAAGAACGGTTGATGTTATAACCCCATTTCCTTTTGTTTTAGATCCTCTTTATTCATGACAAAAAAGTGACAGTGGTAGGGGCATCAGTGAACCAAGAGCGGACCCTCCTTGGTGAGAATAGATATCAAATTACATAGAAAATAAAGATAACTAGTGACCAGCCCGTATATTAACTCTATAAAAATTCATAAAGGCCTCTGTTATTTAAAAATGAAAAAATTAAAAAATCAAAAAAATAAGAAAGAAAAAGCTCTCAAACACTAGGGAATTTTTGGTGAGGTTTTTCTTTAGAAGTAGTTTGAAAATTTTTACTGTGAGAATCAAAAAACCATGGACACCTGTCCTGGGATATTGTTGTGTTGAAGGGATAAGGTCAATCAGGTGTGAGAAAACTATATATGGTAAGTACCATTGTTAATTATTTTCTGATTTTTTGGCTTGCTCTGTTGTGGCAATCTTTGTTGTGATTGGTCACAACACATTAAAGTTGCTTGAAATGATAATAATTGTTATATTATTTCAGACAACTTTATCTTGTTAAATTCTGATTTTCACAGTAAACTATTATTTGAATTCTCAAAATTAATATAAAAATTAATCTCAGTGAATTTGCACTCAATTTTTATATCTTTATATTTTATATTAGCGTTCACTGTTACAGAGTGTTACTTTGGATTGGTGGATAACCCATCCAGCCCGGTAATTCCTGGTTAGTATTAATTGTTGTTAATTTCATGTAATTAATGTCCACAGGACAGCTGAACAGTAGAAATACAGAATTATATTCTAGTTGTATGTAACTCAGAAAATCAAGTAACTTATGCAAAATTTGTAGTTTTTGTCTAAGTTGTTTTTTTTCTTAGTAACCACTGTAGTAAAAATATCTTGTAAGTGTTTGAAAAAAAATAAATGCACCCCTTAAATGCAGAACAATATGTACTCCTACTTCTGATTTATATCCGTTTCCACTGTCAATAATTATTTCTCATCTATTTACTGATTAATTTTGTTCTTTTTCATGTCATCTCTGCAGCAATCTACAAGTCGTTTATAGCAGAAATTCGACCGCAGAAACGTATCTACTCATTGTCCATTGAAAGACATACCTTCCAAAGAGTCCAGGTGATTGTAATTAAGTATAACTTTACCCCCTTGCCTACCAGAGCTAAATACACCCAGCAACCAGCCAGACCTTTCTCAATGACTGGAGTTCATTTCTTCAGGCAACTTGAATGACTGAACTTTTAAAAATCACTTCATTTACCTACAGGTGTTTAAGTTTTGGGGCTGTTAGCTATGGCACAAAATTTAATTTGGTGTATTGGTTTTTTTTTTTTGCTAGTTTCTCTATGGGGAATACCATGGTTATGGAAGTAACTCCAAGAAAGAGTCCCATATGCTTTTTTTACACCACAATGTAGGTATGTTGCACTAAAGTGTATGTAAGTACATATACAATGTAAGCTGGCTGTGTTTATTTTTTTCTGGCCGTGCAATGCAATTCTAAATTAACAATCATCCTCTAATACAACCTATATGCCTATTTCAAGAATGTATAGGGACTTGTGGGACTTGATTTCATTGGGCAGCTGATTATCTTAAGTATTGTAGCACTCAGTGTATTCTCCTTGCAATGCAAAACAACATATAAGAGTCTGTAAGTTTTCCCTAGTTTTATCGGTTAAAGGCAGGCATGGATCCACACCGGTTTCCACCATTTTACAGAAATAGGTCAGATTTTTCATAATAGATATAATTCTGATGAGTAAAAAGCTTTCCAAGTTGCAAGGTTTCATCTTAGGTGAATGTACTGGCCAATATCCTATCTGAATGACTTAAAAACCCAAGAAAAGGGCACTTCAGGAAGTTAATCTAAAGAATTTCAGGGGGGAGCTTACAGCTGTACCCCCAGACCCCCACCCCCCCCCTCTTGCCTCCTCTCCTAGAAGCTTGCGCCTTTGACGCTCACTGTGTAGGAAATCGGTCGGTATTTATCCTAGATCCGGGCCTGAAAGGTTGATTGTCTTTCTATTTCAGCAATTGGGTTGTATCACATTCCCATGGCCAGATCTGGAGATAGGGGAATGGTGAGGTTCTAAAGACCTTTATTCTTATTCATGTCCAAACAATGTACATCTGATCTTTAAGAAATAAATAGTAACTCAGTATTTGAGACAACAATCATGCAGTGCATGAGCTGCACGTGCAAGGCAGGAGATTACAGTATTGAGTTAACTATCTGTGTTAGCTTGATTCAACCTATTTTTTTCACTGTTTTCTATTAAGGTTGATAAATAATGGTAATAGGACTGAGTGGAGTCCAATTCGGTCTGTAATCATACGAGTGATTAACAAAATCGGATGTCGCGTAGCGGGAGTCCGTCCGATTTGTTTAATCACCGAATAGGACGACATGAAGTTCTGTTGCCAATTAATCATAACTATAACAAAATTTGTGATATTTTACGCCTTTTCTAATCAAAACACGAGCAATTCTGAGAGTCTCTTATGCTAGCAGTGAAAAATGCCATTTAAGCGTGCACATGCGATGGTGCGTACTGTCCATCCAATTATAGGCATGACGTGTACTGTACGTCCTATTACACCATCCTTTTTTTTTGTTTATAATTTTGTTTTTATTATTATTTATTTTGTTTTTATTTTTTTTCTATTACATCATCCTATTTGTGCTGAAATCAGGACAGTTGATAGCCAATCAGATTTGAGAATTTTGCTATGTATGATTAATCAAGAAATTCTGATACACTATTTTGTTATTTTTAGTTTATAAATGGTCAGCCAAGAGTTCAGCAAGTGACAGACAAATTCTTTTGGGCTCAGTGGGACAGCCAATATCAACGCCTTTACTTAGTTTACCCAGAGTATAAGGTATAGTATGACGATTTCTTTTTCTGTTGGAATCAATCCTTCAGAAAAAAAACTTACCATAATTATTCGAAAGTAGGTTGAGTTTGATCGTCCGGGTGAACGTAGTCCTGAATAGGACTGTTGTTGTTGACAGTGACTGACGTTTCGACAACCTGTGCGGTAGTCATCTTCAGAGTCAAAGTGAGTTGTATCACGTCAGTTGATGGTATAATACTCTGGGTATTGATCTGATTGGTCAATTACGTCGCGATGTTATTGGTCGTCTGTCAGTTGAGCCGTGATGTTATTGGCTATGAAGACTCGTAATCAGTAATTGGTGCGTTTCGATCCGTCTATTGTCAGAGTTAAACAGTCGTCTATTGTTAGTCAAATTGTCAGTTCTCCACTCTTTCTCTCGTAGTTAGTTTTGCTTGATCTCGTCAATAAGTCGTTTGTACGGCGCTGGTAACTGTTGGCTAAGATTCAGCGGCGTTTGTTCTAAGTTAGTAAACCAGCTTTCTAAAGTAAGACGTTGATAGTAGTCTGTAGAATACCTTATACATGTCGCAGAGTTCCAGTCAATTTGATGTTTCGTCTGTAAATGGTGCTCAGCAATGTGATTGTTCAATCAATCAATCAATCAATCAATCAATCAATAAACTTTATTTACCCTCGAATTTACAGTGTAGCACTCAAGTGCTAATATCTTCCAGCCAACTACATTAATAAATTATTATAATAAAAAGTTAATTCTATATAACATATAAGATAACTAACGACCTAGACAACTAACTTGCAAATTATCTTGATGTAGAAATGTTTTCAGTTCCTGCCGTTTTAAGTAAATTATTGTTCCCAGTAGATATCAGTCGTCGAAAAGAATTAAAATCAGAAATTGTGGACATCACCATTCCTCGTTGCTCGTTTGTGTTCGATCAGTCGCGTGCTTAGGTTTCTGCCGGTTTCACCAATGTAAGAAGCCTGGCAGTCGCAGCATTTGATCTTGTATAGTGCTCCCTGTCTGTCCTCCGGTTTGTCTTCGTCCTTGACATTAGTAAGCAGTCGCCGTAAAGTGGTTATCAGTTTGTGTGCAACACGTATATTGTAAGGTTGTAATATGCGTGCAATAGTTTCCGAGGTGCCTCTGATGTACGGTATAGTCGCTGTCGTAACAGGGCTAGAGTTGGTCTGAGTGTTGGAATCAGTGTTACTGTGAGTGTTCCGTCTAACAAAGTCCGTGTTGTAATTGTTCTTACTAAAAACGTTGTTAAGATAATCAGTCTCGCCTTGTAGGCTGTCAGGTGAGTCGCAAACTAGTTGCGCTACGTCTCGTCAGAGTCCGGATAGTAGTAGCCTTGTGAGAGGTCGGAGTGTACGAAGACTGGTCTAGTAATCGGTCGGTATGTGCCATAATTATTCAGTTAAGCCGTGCTCTGGACACTTACTAAATTTTTGGACTTTCAGAGTGGGTACTTTTTCGAGGTGGGCACTAAATTACTTGATTCTCACCATTTTCTACAAGTAGAACGTTTATTTTGCCACAAACTGGTAAGATGTACCAGTGGATAATATTAACTGATACTTTTGTTTTGTTAGAACAAGTATGGTTTATATGTTGAACTTGATGGGGAAGATGTCACACCTGACCTTATCTTTACATCATATCAGTTTAATGAGAGAAGATCTCATTTCAGAGTGGTAAGCCTTAGAATGACTGTTGTAGACTGCAAAACAGTCCGTATTTTTGCGTATTCAAGAACGCGCGAGCAGTCAAACAAAAGGTCTGGAATGAGGCTGAAAACAGAGAGCGAGACTGGGGAGAGACGCTAAAACTACGGTTTTTTTTCTCTCGTCTCATACGCCCTACGGGCGTGTGAGGCTCGCGCGCTTCGCGCGCGTAAGACTCTTACACCACGTGTTACCGATTTCTTTACTGATTTTGAGAAAAAAACCGACTGTTTTGCAGTCTATGACTGTTGCAACTGTTATAGCCTATCTTATTATAGGAAATTAACCCTCCATGAAATTAACGCGAATTTCGAAAATTCGCGTTAATTTATGTCCCGCAAATTTTGATTAACGTCAGTTTCCGCGACCTTAATTTCCATGATCAGTGGCTGCAAATTCTCAATATACTGGTGACATTCTTCACACGTAAGAAAAAGAAGTATTTTATCAAGGTGGAAATCCACCAATAACAGTGAAGCTGTGAAGAACCCTCCAAGTGGCCAGATTTCTTCGGTTGACCCCCTTCGGACGTTTAGGGAAAGTACCATGAACAAAGGTTTCATTTCGGATTATACGTTCAACTTTGTTCCTATTGTCTCAACAAGTTTTGTTTCTTTTCGAACATCGTGTTAATTTCCTTTATTTTGAAACGTTTCCCTCTCTCTCGCGTTGATTTTCTGTATTCAAAAGTCGTTTTCCACTGAATTCACGGAAATTTTTAAGTCGCGTTAATATCCAATACCTTAATTTCTTGGAGCGTTAATTTCCTATAACAAGACGCTGTCGGAGCGTCCACTTGGGTGTCGTTGTATTACGCGTATGTGAGGATTTTCTGTACCAGGCACGTGTGAGTGCCGCAATGTTGTTAATTGCTAACGAAGACGTGAAGCCATAGTGGATGTTGCTTAGTATGTAAATGGGTCGAATTTTTCCCCGGAATTCCTATCGTAAACTGGGTCAATGAATAGCAAACGCGCAAGACAACCAAGAAATGTTATGGACTGGTAGCAACCTCTCCATTTTGAGTGGCAAGCAAACGCGCAAGTGAGCTCTCACTTTCTTTCCCCGCACATTGCTCACGCGTCTCCCCCTCGAGCCACTCGCGCGCGACTTCTCTCGACATCCCATAAATGGAGTGCTTGCTCGCGGGCTGTTAAGGTTTTCATTGCTGTGAGAGATGGTTCATCATCATCATAATGGCTCAGTCAATTCCAAGCGTACCCATACCCCTAAAAGCATTTGTCAAGTGCTGACATCTCCTTTGGCTCTCGACATCTGAGGAAGAGTGGACAAAATTGTTCAAACTCTTGTCTTAGCCAAACCCGTCGATTCCAATCTTTTTTGCGAGATTTAATATCTCCAATTATCGGAACAAATCGCTCCGTTTCTAGGTAAGAAAAAACCTCCTTCCAAACTGAAAAGTATCCCTGTTTTGTCTTGAATTGTTGAAAATGCCTCGCCATGATTTTGTATAATGTTGTAATAATGTTTTATGTTGGGTAAATAGGTAACTCAGCACAAAGACAACGTCTTTGAGCAACATTTTGAAATCTTAACTTCATCATAAAACAGTTCGAAAACAGCAAAAATTTATAATTAAAGGGAGGTTTTGGAACACCACATTAAACTAAATAATAACATCAGTGAAAAGGAAACACGTAAAATGTTTTGGCCTTTTCCTTTGAAAAAGCTGTCGTGTAAATTGTAGACTTTCTCAAGGACTGATGTCTGCTCCGGACATGATACAAACACCTTGATATTCAAACGATCATCTTTCTAACCAAAACCTTTCCCAAGCATCTCGAAGTCTGGCAAGATTCTTCAAAAACAATAATTATTTTTCCAAATTTGTTGAAAGCTGTGCCTGAAAAAATGGGGAAAAAGATAGAAAACTCAAGATATCCAAACACGTCAGGTCGAACTTCATGGGAAAAAGAGACTGCAATATCCTGAGTTTTTGGCTACGTGGAGTTCAGCGGTTTAAGTTGCGTCATGACTTGGATTGGTTGCTCACTTCATTTTTGGCCTTCGGAGCGGCGCGACGGTAAATTCGTTCCACGTTGCATGTACACGATGAAAACAAACCAACAAACAAAGAAACACCTCCAAGCCTTTCCTCACCTCTTTCAGAAGACCATAAATGATCGATTTTGGACTTTTTTTCTACGAAGCATGCGAACCAACGCTTGTAGCCATTGTGACCATCATTTAAATTAATTAAACCAGAAGTCAAGATAGTAGCAAACTAAGTAATTTTCACCAATTGCTCCTTTTAAACAATTTTATCTCAGCAATCATTTTCAATTGAACCAAGCGAATGTTTTTGTCCCTTTTCTTCCATTTCCCGCACGAAAGTCACTAGAGCACAATACTATAGCTAATTCAGTTTCACATGACAAACCACATTAGGTCACGGTCGTGCAATCGGCTCATCCGTCAGCTTAGTGTCTGATTAGTGGCACGCTAGGGAAGGGGTTCTGAAGGCACAGACCCCCACCTTATTTTTTATGGCCAAACTAAGGCCCTCAGGGGCTGGATTATTGGGGCCCCCACTTACTTAACGATCTGAATCTGCTACTGTAGAGGGAAAAAGGCCGCAAGTCCCTCTAAACATTTCACCAAGGTTTAATCAATAATAGTTTGGGGAAATGTTGAGAGAGACTTCAGGCCTTTTCCCTTTGACTCCCATGGTAAGTTTAATGTCTCCCTTCTTTGTGTGGTGGAGAGTACAAACTAGACTCTGTCAAACGGCTGTCAGTTGTGCATAGTCTAGATAGTGACAGAATTATTTTAAGATCTATATGGAAATGCTTAATTCCTGTGGTAACTAAATCTCTTGTACTTTCAGCTTAACTTCCCACTTCCTTTTCCTGATGTGGATCTTTTCTCTAAGACGAGGTAAATGTTTGAATACATAAAGTGTACATACAATGCATAAGCTATGAGGATGTTAGTGGAAATCAGTTACATTATTTTATCCTTTCAGTTGTTCTTTGCTTTGAGATTTCTCTTATGAACCTACTTATTAAGCTGCTGCTTCTGCAATGCTCCTTACACCATTTCCAATTTGCCACGTACTTGGCCTTTACTAGTGCCAGTCTAGAACATGATTTTATTTCCTTAATGCAAATTCTCTAAATTCTCTCATATGTTGTTAAGTGTTTACTGTTTAACACTCTGAATTATTTTGCAGTCATCCAGAGTATATTGATGTTGCTCTTGCTCAGACTGTCTCAGGTAAATAGCAATCGTTCAGTTGATATCTGTTCGGAACTGAAATTTTATTTTCTGTTAGACTGTTCGGACGTCTGGGAACTAGGCCCTAAGTTAGTCTTCCGGGGCTCGGATCCCCCTTTGGTTTTTTTGACATGTGTTTTTTCGCATGCGTTGTGAATTCTTGGAGTTTGTTCATCATGTTTATGTTTCGTAAATACTGCTGATTTATGCAAGAAATCGTTTTATTCAATATCCATAGCATTCATGCTTTTTTTTAAGTGGGGTAGAGTTACCATATTTGTTTCAAAGAGAGTCACAGCGCTTATCAAACTTTTTCAACTGGCCAGTGCATTTTTTTGAGGTTGCCGTTAAGTCAAAGGCGGCGCTTATTTTAAACTGTGTAATTATTTAATGTGTTAAGGAAACAATGAACAGTATGTGTTTTACAGTCAAACCTCATTGTACGATCACCTCCCATAAGCGACCACTTATCCAAAACACCCCAATTTTTTTAGTCAAAGCTTTTTTAGTTAGAACCTCTTGTAAACGACCACTTCTTGTAAGTGACCGCGACCACTTTTAAGGATGACTTTTTTAATCTTCTAAGCGACAACCTGATACAATAGTCTGATCTTTGTGTTCGCTGTATACTCTGCTGCTCAAAGTATGAGAAGAACTTTTGGAAACAACGTGGATTTAAATATATTGTAACCTAAAAGTTACATGCAATACATTCTCTCAAAAAAGTAGATATATCAGGAATTCTCCTTGTGAAAGACCTCCTGCAGCTCGACTCTCATAATCGACCACTAAACTCTTCGCATTTTAGGTGGTTACTTGGTTAGGGTCTTGATTGCAGTGATGAGGGTTGGCATCAAGCCTTCTTCACGTACTTAAGGGAAGATGAAGGAAAAAACATAGAAGATTCTGGTAGTTGTAGTAAAGTGACATCATGGTCAAAATAGCCTAGTAGTTTCTTTGCAAAAATTCACTGTGTTGAAATAACAATTTTCCCATGTTTTATTACGTATACTCTAACACGGCTTTTTTTTTATGCAGAGAAACATCTTAATATGCAAGTGGTTTCTTTACCTAGCAAAGGTAATGTAAATCAGTTGTTCAAGTGTTTGTAAGTTCTTGCCGGTGTGTTTGTCAATTAATGGAAGTTATAACGTATAACAGTCCCTATTTGAAAGTACAACATACCTTTCCCTAATTTAAGAGGCACATAGTACGACTGTTCTGCCGCCGCCTTTCAGTTTGTGAATCTTGCTTTGTTCGTCTTCTTCTGATAGTCTTTTTAAAGTAATCCTTGACCTTATTATGTGTTCGTTGTGTTATATGGAATGGTAATGTTTGGTATCTTTGTTTTTAATTACAGGTTCTTTTTATATTTGCCTTCAACACCCAGTATCTGGAGAAACAACTGAATCACAGGTTAAGAGTTCTTTTGGTTTATCCGCCCTAAAAGGACTTCTCCTGTTTAAAAGGGCTATCTCAGGGGTTTCAATATTGCTATTTTAGGTCATTTCTTTGCTGAAGTCATTATCAATTTAGTGCCTTTACCCATACACAAAATGCTCCTGCATGTACATGTAACGTTATAAAAAAGATACATTTGTATATACCAAGACAAATTTCATCAGGGGGCAATAACCATAATAATCTTTTTGGTGATTTCTGGAGACAATTAGGAATTCGATTGATGCAAAGCGTCGTTTTAGCTTCTTAAAAAGATCATTAACAGATAGCGCGACATAACCCATTAACGTAAGTTTAGAAGAGTGAGGGGTGCATATTATAATTACAGAGCTCTTCGGGACCATCAGCAGAAGGGCATCCCAGTCAGTTGGAGTATTCTGTCTATGTTCTGCATCATGGTGAGTCAGTCAAGCTTACTTACTGAAATACCTTTGGCGCCTCAATCTTTATTTTTGTTGTGCTGTACTTTCATACGCCCCTCCTCAGCCCCCCCCTCCACCATTATAAATGAACTGTCCCCATGAGTACTATCAGCCAACCCTTTCCTTACCCACGTTATTTTAAAGGCTTCCGCTTGTGGCATAAAAAAATGAGAGAGAACGAGAGCGAAACGAGAATTTACATGTGGTTTAGTTAAACTAAGTTGAAAAAACTAAATTTCTGTAAAGTTGCTAAATAGTCTACATAAATAATTATTAACCTTGATAAAATTTTTTTTTTTTCCAAATGTTTACCTTTTTAACTTTGGGTATATTTGAATTTCCCACTGAAGGTTGCTTGATGCACTGCGTGTTGCCTACTGTGACCCTGTCAACCACTGATCTACAAAATTATCGCCTGTTCTTCTCTTCTCTCAGTAAGTTTTCTAACTACTATAAAGTTCATTACAAAGCTCGAAATTTGCGTTTAAGGCCTGTTGCCTATGTTATGAAATAGATATATCTGACTGAATAAATCGCGATGTCCATTTTGGTGGAGTTAGAAAGGTAACCTGCGTAGCTGGCGGTTTTATTCGGGCGCGCGTGCAAACAAGGTTAGTGAGTAGCAAAGCGGCGAAGAGCGCGTGAACGAGCACCCCAATCTCCTCGCAGCTTCGCTGCTGTCGCCCGCGCTAACTTAACTTGTTTGCCCAACCAGACAAAACCACCAGCTTCGCAAGCTATCAAAAAGGCAAATAGTTGGCTTCATACACTTTCTATCAAAAAAACATAGGCCAGACACTAGCAGGCACATGGCCTGGTACTTCTGAGCACTGAACGATGCTTCTTTGGAAGACATTGCAGGATTATTCAGTAAATTAACTCTTCATCATTTTATTCATTAGTAACGCGTGTAGAAAAATATCCGAGAACCCTTTAATGAACTGATGGGAATAGTCCTTTTTACCTTCAGCTACTTTAGAGCGGCATTATTAATGACTGAATTTTAACTCATTAGATGATTATTTAATGGTGTTTCTTCCTGGTCGCTTCATGCACTTGTTGAACTGTAGTCCAGAACGAGAACCTTGCCATCACATCATCTTGCAAGGTAAATCCAACTCTCGGTACTGTTAATCCTAAAAGGTGAGACAGGGTGCTTCAAAAATTTCTGTCGTGAAAAGTATGACTTCCGTATATCGTTATTGTGGCTGGCTTTTGTGCCAATTGTCATCCCACTATGCCACAGTCAAAAGATCAAAGTGGAACTAAAGGTCTTAAGACTTCAGTCCCAAGCACTGAAAAAAAGTACATTTTAACAACCTTGAAGCTCAGCTCCTGTTCATGAACCAAGTTATATTGGAAACATGTAGTGGTAGTTGTCTACCAAAAAGCATGCTTAGGATGTCTAGGATCGGCGCAAGGTATCTTGAGGGTGGGGGTTTCTTGAGGGTGTAAGTATGTGTGCTCTTTACGTTGCATTGGGCTACCCTGTATGGTTGTTATCGTAGGCAACGCTATTGGTTATCTTTTTTTTCTCTGATGTGTGGCTCCGCGAAGAAATGTCGGAAAAAAATAAAGGAATTCATTTAAGCTCGGTTATTAAATTAGTCGTGTGCTTCCATTCAGGTGATGCTGTCCCAAAGCTTTCTTCCACGGACGTTTCGTCAGATGAGCCGCGGTTGCTATTGTATCTAAATAAAGAAATTTCTACTTCTTTACAAACAGGTGAAAAAGAGTGGTTTAAATTTATTTCTTCTAAACAAGACTAAAATACTTCATGTATCATATCTTTGTTTCTCACTTTTTCGTTTTTGATTTTTTTCTGTTCTTTCTTTGAATGTAAGGTTTTTTCCTGTTTTTGGCCAGCCGCCCTCTTTATCATAATTTTTCTAAACGTATTTACTTACTTTATAAGGTAAAGTTCTGTCTCTTCTTTCCTTAGGGCCTTACATTTTTGACAGCATGTCTGGCAATGCATACAAGTACAATTTTGATAAGGCAGCTCTTGCAGACCTTTTTGCTAGGTATGTCGCTCATCAACGCAGCTGTATAAGCGTGTTCCATGCTATGAATATGACTGAGAACCCGAGACCGGGCTGGTTTATCAGATAGCCCACCTTTTCACAAAAACACTGAGAATGTTTTTAAATGTAAATAGTGATAAGGCGAGATTTCCGACCGGTTGACTAAGCTTTTATAAGGAGACTTTTACCTTTTTGAACAAAAAGATTTAATCTTTTGGATAGCATTTTTCCACGCCTTTTTTGTGAGCTAAGCCCCTTAAATATAAGAGCAGAAGTGGTGGTGAGGTTTGATTATTACAGAAGATGCCATTTACTTTTCATGTTTAAGGTGATGTTATACGGGACAATTCGCAACGATAACTTTAAGCGCAACAAGGCGTTGCAATGTTGAAACAATGCTGCAACCATTCGAAACAATATCGCAACAATGTTGCAACGCTGTATTGCGCTAAAAATCGTCGTTGCGAATTGTCCCGTGTAACATCACCTTTCGACGTTCTCACAGTGTTATTAGAGAGGTTAAGCATCACGTTTACTGATCATTATTTCTACACGTAAATTAGTAGTTTACAGCAATTTTATATCCATAAGAATTGTTTTGAGCTGTTTTTATCTGCTCATTTTCTATTTTGAGAAATTCTCAACTTGAATCTAACGTTTGCCGTTTGCCGTATATGTGACGCTTAAACTCTCTATTACGGAGCTACGTCAACCGGCATTGGACTTTTGCATTCTTAGCTTTGCTTCTGCCCAAATTTTCGGACAAATCGTCCTTATAAGAGTGAAGACACTTGGCAGTACAAATTTGCTAGCGTTAAGGAACCCCCCCCCCCCCCCCCCCCCCGGGCGACCCCCCTTTTTTAAAAGGGGGGGGGGGGGGTTTTTTTTTTTTTTTTTTTTTTTTTTTTTTTTTGGAGGACCCCATAATCAAAACGAACCTTTTGCCCTTCTTCCTTCTGTTTTTTTTTCTTTTAAGGGTTTTTCTTTTAAAAAAAAAGTGGGTTGTCAGACAAAAAACCAACCTATACTCTCTTTTTGTTGGTGACGCCTACTCCCATTGTTCTTTTTGTTGTTTTCTTTTTTTTTCCCCCCCTTTTTGTGCAAACTCGTCCTTATAAAAATAGGGCCACTTGTGGGTAATAATTTTCAGGGCGATAGGACCCCCCCCCCCCCCCCCTTGCGTAAGCTCCCTATTTATAAAAGGGTGGTGGAGTGATCTTAATTGATTATTTTTTCATTATTTTGTCTGGACAGGACCCATATGCCAAGTACACGTTTGGCCATACTTCATCTGGCTGTTATTCACTTAAGAGATTCTAACTTAATAAAACAGGTGAGGTTTCCAGCAAGAAACCCTATTCACGGGTAACCGCAAAGACAGTCCATGGGCAAACCAAAAAAGAACCTGTTCCCAGGAACCTAACACAATCCTTTGAATACTGTTATTCTCAATTCATGCTTAGATGTGACCAGGTCAAACATTCTCTGTACAATCTTCCTTAATGCTGGGGAGCCTAAGCAACGACGACTACAACGATAGTGAAAGCGTTGCTAAAAAAATTCTTTATCGCGCCTATTTGTACCCGCTCAATTTGTCAAATGTAGGCGATTTCTCCTGAAGTTGAATTCTTAGGGGCTTTTATCTAGCTTCAAAAAGAGAAAGTATGTTCACTTCCTCCATAAAACGTCGAATTCGGAGGTTTCATGTCGTAGTCGTGTAGTGGACGTCAAAGAAATGTACTGAAAAAGCGTGCTCGTGGAGAGCTGTTGTTTGCTCATGAAACCGTCGTCGTCATTGCTTAAGTTCCCTAAAGCTACGTGCAAACGGACGCAACAACTTCCAACATTGTTGGGCCAACAATGATGGGAGTTGTTGCGTCTGTGTTGGCAGTGGTGTGCAAACAGATGCAACACCTCCCAACAGTGTTGGGACCTGCAGTGAATCGTGGGAAGGATACAGCCCATAAGACTTAGAAGACCATTTGTAATGCGCGTGCGTGGCCCCAACAATGTTGGGTGTGTTGACGGATCCATTGTTGCGCTATCCTTTGGCGATCACGGAACAAAAGAAATGCTGGGGGTTGGCTCAAAAGTTTGACAACAACTTCTAACAACACGCAGCGACATGCAAATGGACACAACATGGAACATCCAACAATGTTGCGTCCGTTTGTACTGGGCTTGATAATGCTGCAAAACAGCCGCATTATTGCGTTGGTAATGATTGGCAACAGCAGTAAAGAAAAAGTTTAAGAACTGAATAATTTACACTTGCTTTAAAAGCAGCGATGTTAGTTTGAGAGGAAGGGACCAAATATTTTGAGGTTTGTTTCTTCATTTAGTGAAAATGCAGTTTCTGTAATTTTGTAACTTCCTCAGATTTTTGAGCACCTAAGCCACGACCCTGCAAGTCCAGAGTGTTTAGACTTTCTGCGAGAATATCTTGTGGGTAAGTAGTCACTTTTTGTTTAATTTCAATTTAAGACGGATACCTGACACTTATGCCCAAGATTGAACGCAGGTCTTTTTTTAATACAATTATTTCATGCATGAATATGACTGGGTTATTTCTTTCTTTTTTAACATGTTTATCTTGAGGACACTGTTTGATCGTTTTTTACAGCTACCTCTTGTATTCAGTGTCCTCAAGGGAGAATACCGACTTAATACAGGTTTAAATGCATTACTATTCGACAGGTTCAACGTATGGAACTTTTAGAAGAGAACTGGAAAGAGAAGTAATCACCTTAATTCCGTTCACTTGTGTTGACACCTACAGAGGCCATTTGGAAAAGGTGAAATTTATACTCCACAAAAATACTAGCTGCATGTTCTGAGGCCATGTACATGCAGGTTCTTTACCATTTACAAAAACTTTCCGGAAAATCCGGGTGGAAAGTAAATGGAATACGACTTTTTTGGGTTGTTAAGGGGGCAACGGAACATCTTAAAAGGTAGTCCTTTTTTCCGGACGGAATGTTCCAAACGGAAATTGGAGTTCCATTTCTTCAAAGCCGTCTTTGATACCAGTTCCAGGCTTTCGCGGCCGTTTTTTGGCAGATAGAACTGATTTGAGCAAATGGTAAACGCGATTCCGGGAAGAAATTTATCACGCCTGAACTTCGTTTACCATTTACGCTAACAGTGAACCGACCGGTAAACAACCGCAGCTTTTTTTTTATTTTTTATTTTAATTTGAGGCGTTATGTAATGCATAAGCTGTGCGAAAGGTGCGTCACGATCACGTTTTTGATGCTTAAAAGAAATTGTTCAATTCTAATTGGCTAAAAAGGAGTGTCGTCTATAGACTGCAAATTTCACGAGCCTAAATTTTGTTGGTCTTCGAAAAGTTTACTCGTGTTTATTTATTCCATATTGCGCTCGAGATCTTATGATTTCCTCTACAAATTCAATATAGAGCAAGCCCTGCCACTTGATTGTTCTTTATTTCACTTTTTTGCAGGATATCAACAGAAAAAGAATTGCCCAAATTTCCTGCTCGTTTGTAAAAGATAACAACATTGAATTTCAGGGTGTAAAGGTTCGTAAACGCTTCTCAGTCTCTTAATAGAAACCAATCGACCCTCTGTAACAAGACTTTGATCCCGCGTTTGTCTCTGACTTTATTGTTTTGTTCCTCTCTCAGGGAAAAATGAAACAAGGTGATTTTTGGACAGCTCTACTTCAAAATACAAAGCGACTGCCTCCACGGTCAGTACCACATCAGTTACGAGCGTATGGTACACAGTTCCCTAGTCAGTAGAACCTGTTATTTGTGGGGTCTTGTAAGAGCTGCCTATATAGGCGAATCTTTGTTTACATTTTTTGCCTCATTAGCACATGCCTTGTATTCTCTGATCAAGCTCTTAAAAAAAACTCTCTGAATATCGTCAGAGCATACAACTTCAGTTATCTGTGTAAATTTGAACCAGATATACCGAATATTTTAGAAGAAATTATCATTGGAAAACTCCGAACTTAGCAAAGAATGTATGGGCTTATTAGGGAGTTTGAGCGGCAACGTTTTGAGTGACGCACGTCAACCGAAGTGAGCGTTTTTCTTTTAAATATATCTTGACGCTACTACTCTTATAGAGACGATTTGCCCAAGAATTTGCTCAAAATCACAGCTCAAGAGTGCAAAAATTTCACTTCCGGTTGACGTGCGTTGCTCAAAAACGTCGTTGCTTAAACTCCGTTTTAAAAGGCTGATATGGCAACAGAACCGGAACGTCATTTGATGACGAGCAAGCGCGTGGAAAGGACTTAACTCGACTTCCTGTGCCAAATTTGCCGCTTTGCCATTGGTCTAGCCAGTTGTTTGATTTGCGCGCGCAGTCGCGTCAACTGAAGTTCCCGTTCTGTTGCTAAATCAGCCTAATAAACGCTTTTGCTACCCAGCGATTTTGCAGTTTTTGATAGCTGCTATTTACCTTTTATTAGGTACAAAGAGCTGAAAAGTGCAAAAATTGTTCAAATTAACCAACTCTTTAAACTTTTGAATTTAAGTTGAGCAAACGGTGACGCCTTCTATGGGTTAACTCGTATGCTAACGAGCAAAAATGTGAAGAATGTCGTCAGCAAAGTGTCGCCTATATCTCCCCGTTATGAGCAGTAACGACGAGAAAGATTTGTGGCGCACTCGACTGGCCGTAATACAAATAAATGAAATTAAAAGGATTGATTTTTAAAATCAAGTGTTTGTGACATGTGACCTCTACTAGCCTGAGTATCAGGCCTTCCTTCCATCTTTCCCCTTTTCCCCAGAAACGCCTGATACTCAGGCTAGACCTCTACAAACTTAGCAGACATAGATGTTGGTTGACGTTTTGGGTGTGGTAATTTGTGCTAATGAATTTAAAACAACGGAAAAACAAAAATTAACTGAAGTAAAAAAATAAATTGCAACATATACAACTGTCCACTTAGTGTTTGGGTGATCACTTCCCCACCACCCACTCAGTTGTTCGACCAAGTTAAGTGGTCGCCATCATTAAAAGCCGAAGGGGATTGGAAAAAAACTTGAACAGAACGGCTTGTTTTTAAAGAAGGTTCTAAATTGTTCCAGAGCTTAATAGCTCGATAGTAAAGGGTTCTTTTTTCGGAGGCTGATGTGAAAAGAGCGATGTTTAGTTTTTGGCTACTTCGAGTTGTTCTTTTGCTAACTTGCTCACGAGGTAAGAATTGGGAAGTAAGATATTCAGGGGCGTGACCGGTCATGCATCTGAAGGCCATGATAGCTTGGCGATTGTACAGTTGGTCCTTAACAGGCAACCGGTGTAGTCACTCTAACCTCTGTGCTAGGCCATATGAATTATGTTCTTTTATGAGAAAAAATGCTGGATATTGATCAATATTTACGTTTAGATGGTCAACCCGGTTTTAACACACCGGTTTCTGCCTTATGCTACATAGAATCCTTTAGATAAAGGCCTTGTTTGCTTTGTATGATTGTAAATTTCTTAGAAGAATTTTCTTTATTTTTCTGTTGATCGCGGATTAAGGTTCCAGTTAAAAGTCCCGGATGCTGATTTGTTTGAACAGGAGTCTGATAGTGACGAGGAGGTGGGAAGAAGTTAGTCTTATGATGCATGTTTTTGTCTTGTCACTACTGTTTTAGGTAAATTCTGTGCAGAAGAAGAAGATGTCAAACAAATTTCATCAAGGAGCATTAATCATAATTTTTTTTAGCGGTTTTTGCAGGCATGGCATTAAAACTTAAAAAAGCTGGCTTAACTTTGTCAAGTTTCCATCCAAGTTTGAAACTGTTTCTAAACTTTACTGGGAACCAACTTCGGAATTTGCTAAATTATTCTAGCTGCAACATTAATTCCCGTCTAAACCATTTAACGGCAGTTTGCGTTGTGAAAATGCATGCGGATAATATGTTTATGTTAATGACGTTATGATTTTTATTGCAGACCGAGGATGCACCACAGGAGACCAGTCTCGTGCAGTCGCTCTACAGAAGACTTTCTGTTTCCAAGTAATGGCATGTTTATTAATTCCCTTATGCATAGTAAACAGCGCGAATTCCTGTCTTCAAAGTACTTCGTGGTTTGCTATTCTCGACAAAAATATTCTCTCATGTTGGAATCCGCCACTATGAAAATCAGAAGGAAACTGGTACGAGTAAACTTTCGCAAAGACTTGTGGGACTGCTACAAGGTACAAGACTAATAGCTGATTGGCGCGTCCGCATTAACGATCCCAGAAACAATTGCGGGGCATATTTCAGCTCCAGTTTCCTCCTCGGTTTTAAAGATGGCGAATAGACCTTATTCAAGACACCCGCCATCTTTGCACGCGCTTAAGGACTGATGGGAGAGCAATGATGTCACGTGGTTTCTCAGGGGGCAAACAAAAAATGAAATTTGCCAATGCAAGAAACCGTTTCGGCTCCAGACCCCTTCACGTTTTTAAAGTGGTGAATTAACAGGGTCTTTCGTTCCATAGGCGGCTTTCTCGTGCGGGAAGTAGTGAGTCTCTTTCCTCTCATGGAAGCAACAGTAAGTTTTAATGACGTTTTTGACTCTTTTGCGCATTTTGGTAGCTTACTACCAGTTTTATTGAAAGTGAGGAAATTATATCAACAACTAACGTTGGGCGGAACGAGAACCTGTACTGATGTTTGTTATCTTCCTTATAACCAGGAAATAGAGATTCCTTCGATACCACAGAACAACGCAGATCAGTTTTTGAGATCAAAAAACAAAATTTGGTGAGTATACTACACATCTTGTACGTATGTAATATGCAGAGAGTACGAGCATGTTGACTGGCCCTCTTTACAATCCTACGAATACAGCCGACTCTCATCGCTAGGGACGCTTCAAAGCGTGCCTGGCGCCAAGGAGCGCTGAGAGGAGGCTGTATTCCAGGGTTATTCCTGTACAGCATACTATTCAATCTATCTTCAACACCTTGATGGTAGCCCCCAGGCTTGTTGTTCACAAGCAAATTAACGCTTACACGGGAAAAGGGTGGGCTTTTAATGTATTTAAGGGCTTTTATTATCACAGGGTGACGTTGGAAATAGTTCAGCAGCAGTCTCTGGGTTGGCAATTATTCCAATCTAACTTCCAGTCTTTTACGAGGAGCAGGGTAGCAATTAATTTTGATGAATTTCAGGGTTTTGCTATACCTTTTTCTTGTCTATATTTTGCAGACTATAGATTGTCTGGCATCTCATTTACAAAACCATTTACCAAGGGAAGCTAAAGTTAAAATACAAAATATCGCTATTGAATATGTCAAGTGCCAGGTGTGTATTCTTATTGACACAAGCTATCCACCTTTAAGCTTCTACTTTAATCGAATTTGACTCACCAATGGAGCATTTCAGTGTCGGAGAACCCAGGGTTTCAATATTCGCCAATTTCAAGTAAGTCCGGGTCAAGTCACAAAGTTGATTGATTGTGAATCCATACCAGCGGATGTAAAATCACGATAGCTGATTGGTAGTTCTCCTAGCTTGACGACTTTGAGCTGGACAGTGTCAAAAATATAATTTCCTAAACATGTTAAAGCTATGGATTCAATTCAATTATCGTTATGTAATTACTTTTACCCATCTACGACAGAATAAGACAACAATATGATGTAAACACAGAAACTTTGTAGTAAATATAAATTTTTGTAAAAATACTTACATAACGACTAGACAAGAAGCTCAGGGACAAATAATTTGGCAATCAACGTTTTATTTTCGGTCATTGTTGTTGCTTTTCGTTTGGTTCCGCCAAAAGTGCATGATGTTGGCTTGCTAATGTTTTCATTTTTTTACTACGTAATTTATTAATCGCACCGTTTTCAATCTCTACAAACTACATTCAATTTTTCTTATTTCTACAGGCACGCCAATCGGAGCAGTTGCTTCGTTTGTTTAATCAAGCTTTGGAGTTCACTGATAACCCGTTCACTTTGCCTCTGTAAGATTTGCATTGTATTTATTTTTCAATCAACGTGGTTTTGTAAAATACAACAACCGCAAAACGGTCTAGCATTAAAAAAGAAAAACTCTGGAGTGCAAGTTCTTAACAACAGAGATCTTACGATAGAGTTTTTCGGTAGTTCCGGCTAACCGCTAACTACAAAAAGTCACATGACTAGTACCTTGCAGTCAGGTTTGAGGTTTGGGGTTTACAGTGTATACGGCGAGACCACGCTCCAGAGGTAAGTGATTTATCGCAAGGTTTTTTGCACCCTAAAACATCACAATCCCACGTTTGAGAGGTTACTAATTATCGAATTCTTTTTCATCTGAACGTAATCTTGAAGACGATTTCTCAGCTAAACATGGCAGCCGCCAGCAACCACCCGCGAATCTTATGTCCCAAATATGAGCAGACGGCTAACGTAAAACCGCGGTCTATCGCTTACGTTAAGATAGCCAAACCTCGTGCGTAAGGTCTCAAATAACATGAAAAAGCCGGAAACCGTTAGACAGGTTAAAAATGGAATACCGGTTAAGCTTTGATTCCCTCACAAGGTAAAAGATCTCCGTTGCCATGGTGACATAAGAATTCGCGCCTTTCCCAGTAAAAAATGTTGAAGTGAAGTTACTTGGTATTTCATCGGTGTTTTTTAAAATGAACAGAACTTTGCAAAGCAGCTTGGAGATACAAAATGTCTTCTTCTCGTGTTGAAAAATATTTCAGCAATTTGTATTTTTCAACACTCGAACAGAAACTTTGTATCTCCGCGCGACCATGTGATATCCTCTGTTTATCTCATGCTCTATTGAGTGGTTTAAATTCTCCTGGATAGCTAGTACCCTTGGGTAGTTTGTACGTCTTCTACCTTGTAAGCATCCTCGTTTTTTTTCTTTTTTCAGCAGACCCTTAAGGACTTTGTTTGTTTGTTTGTTTGTTTGCCTTGTTGTTTTTAATGCAGTCGGTCTTATTGCAGATCTATGCGTGGGACAATGCGTGAAGTGGTTTATTTTCAGTTGGTAGAGAGATATTGCACAGCGGTCTCTGAGCTCAATTTTCCTTTTAGTACTGGTATGTTTCTGAAAATAATAATAATAAAAAATCAGTCATGCAGGTATTCAATCTTATTTTTACTGTTATTTTCATCGCGAATTGTCAGAGAATGAATGTGCTTCCTCAAATAAAACTGGCTACCAAATCTCTCGATCAGTGGAATAATTTTAATGAAAATGAGTACGATTAAGTGGTACCTCATCCACAAGGCAAGGTTTCGGCGTTGACCACAATACAGATCGTATTAAGACCTTTCCTTTAAAGGCGTCCCCGATTAGTAGGCTACGGCTGTACGTGTAGCCAGCTGGAAGATTTGACACGTTAATAAAGTTGCATGTTCAGTTCAGTTGAGTTCACAACTAAACAGTCACGCGGTAAAAACAAAAATAAAACAACAACAACAACAAATAACACTTTACTGGGACGCAGTATCAATGTCGTTGTTTTACATTGAAATTTACAGGGTTTCGTTCAAGTATGACCTGTCTTGGATTTAGATGCTTGGATCGAAGGTATTAACTATTTCCGATCTCCCTAAAATAAATACATGTATGCTGGTAGATCTTAGACTGTGGATAATCTTTGAGTATTTTAATCGTTCTTTTCATGCAGAATGTTTTTGCAGTACGTGGATAATGGCGTGTTACATTTGACGAGGAAATTTATTTCTCGTCTTGTTGAAGGTACTTTAATGTTAGTATTCTCTTCCGGTTTTATTTTTCGTTCTGTTGAGGTTTGGAAATCACCTTGTCATCTTTTTGGGGCCATACTCAACCATCAGACAATCTCATCACTAGGGAGGTCACAACTTAGTAAGCTGTAACCTCCCTTGTGTGAACAGTACTGATCAAGTCACTGTAGATGAATGTCCTTTTTATTAGAGGAGGATTTCCTTGAAAAGAAGTGCTTTTCTTTCGCAGAGTTTGATGGTGAAAGGGAGGAAGAAGATTTTGTCTTTCAAATCATTTGTCGCCTGAAATACGTAAGTCAACTCTGTTAAGTGACAAGTAAAGATACTTAAACAACATGGGGAATGTATTCGAACTTGCGGAGCAAAGATTTCTGGAATCGTTTGGGGCAGGGACAAGGGTTAGTGACGATTTGTTGATTGTGTTCAAAGGCAACCATTAGCCATTCATTGCTTACACTGTCCAACGAACGATCTATGACTGAAATCATTGCGCTAAAAGCTTTTCCCAATTCTCCAGCCAAGGACTCCGCGCCCCATTTTTTGGACATAACGAGCTTCTTGTTTTTTGCTTTTTCGTTTGGTTTTTCTCACGTGCAGGATGCCGCCAAAGATGCCTTACTGCATTGGGAACACCCATTCAAAGCCAGGTGATTTGATGATTGTCCACTTGTGACTTATCCTTATATGATTGCCCGTTATAGGAAAAGAAAACAAAGTCAGTACTGTCATTTAACCGTCATGACTTCTTTGACAAGCTAACACCTGCGCTTTTCCTAAAAGTAATAAGCTTTTTTGATTTTGTTAAAAACGTTTCTTACAGCTGGTCTTTGTTTAGCGAGCCTCGGTAATCTTGCATGTATTATACAGCTTAACAGACTGAAATTAATGTCTATTTTGAGGTGCGCTTTTTTAGGTTTTTTTATCATCATTGTTTATATTCGTGAACATTTACGGACATTGTAATTAGCCGTAGCTTATTTTTTTTGCTACCTTGAAGTCTATATCGATTTCTTTATGTTTGTTGTCAGGTATCTTTCCCAGCGGATTGTGGAAGACTTGTTGATGACAGACAGTCCTGGAGGTATTGCTTTTTTTGTGTGTATGTTTGTAATAGTTTGTTTGCTAACAATATAGTTCAATGACCACACATTAGTGTAATGACCAAAGACCACAATCGGAAGGACAGCCTCAAGTACATAAGGTGTTTGAATACAATTGTGCTGCATTAACTGGTAAATAATTAATGCCATAAAATCAAGGTAGGGAAATATCTCCAGTTCAGTTATGAAGTTCTTGTGAGCTGTTCTCTAGCTTATCATTTGAAAACGAACACAGACTGACAGTAATGGAAAAAGTTGGATTTGACTCCATTGTCGCTCGTTACCGGAAAACTGTGGTACCTCAGCTGTCCCTGCGTGCCTGAGTCGACTACCATCAACGCATGCATGTTCAGTAATCAAACAAACTTCATTTTGTACTGAATGATATTTTAAACAAAAAAAAAGTAAACGACTCAAACACCTTGGAGAAAGTACAACGTAGAGCATCCCATATTGGGCTAGACAGGTCCTTAAATGGCCAACACTTCAACAAAGAAGATTATTTTCGTCGCTTACCGAGTGTTATAAGACAATAAACAGACCTAATGGACTAGATGCCACGGCATTTTTTATGTTTGCACGTGACTTTCGACCCTCAAGAGCTAATCACAGTTTTAAACTTAAGTTTGCATCGGCAACTTTGAATAGTTTTAAACATTCTTTTTTTATACGCGTAATCGATAAGTGGAATTATCTGCCCAAGGAAATTGCTGAGGCGAAAAATTTGAACATTTTTGAGAACAGACTGAGATGTCATCTTGCAAATTTTTCTAGTGAACACTAAGTTCTTCAAACGTGTAATGTATTATATATTTTATATTTTATATTTAATATTTTAAACAGTTGTAAATAATTAATGTTCTTAATTTATCTTATTATCAGGAGATTAACTAGAGAGGGATTTGTGAATAAACAGTTATTAACTTATTATTACATTTAATTATTAAACAATCACATGTCTGATTGATGGTTTATCGACAGGTGCGCGTGAGAATTTGGATTACTCGTACAGTGGCGCAAGAGACGCCACTTCTAATGGGAGACCAGCAAGTTTGTCGAGTAAGTCACCCTCATTTGTATTTTATGGAACTGGCAGTAACAGTTCAATTTAAGTTGGCTCCGTTATTTAAAGAAATCGAATTGATGGCTCGTCTTAACATAGAGCAATCCTTTGTCGAAATTCCAAACCAATTTCACAGCTGAATTTCGAAGGACTTTATGTTACGGCACTCTGCGTCAAAAATTTCACTGAAAGTTCTTTGGCATAATTTTTTTGATTACATCAATAAAATCTGATACCAGAAATTTCAGTCAAAAATATCAACAAAATTCTTGACTAGACGAGATTTCTTTGAAATTAAGCATTAATTGCGAAAACAAATATTTAATTACCACCAGTAAAATCGAATTATTTCATATGATAGTCGTAGTTCTCTTTAAAGTTTCGTAGTAATTGCTTTAAAACCGAAAAAGTTATGAGTAAAAGTTTGTTATAGTTCAATGCGCCTTGAATAACGGAGCCACCTTAAACAGCAGACAAATGTTGACGACAGCGTTCAATGAACGATTTTACAACAGGACAGTACTGATTCTTTACACTGTCTTCACATTCACTTGAGTTGTCTCTAGAGTGAATGCTACCGGTTCAGAGGCGAGAACCACCCCCCTCAGTCAGCGTATATAATAAAGAGCACCACTGGAGATCATTGATGCTGCAGCACAAGGTTCTATCCTTATACTTTTCTCGATCTTTCAGTTTCTTCAGATGGTGATTCCGATGTATTTCGTCCACTCGCCACTCTGATGTCAGCCCTAAAGAAAGGTGGTAAGTGAATTGCTCACTCGCTTGTTTTCCCATGAAGGCAGACTGGCCTGTTCATACCTGTATACAGCTATTTCGAGAAAGGTTGTCGAAGAAACATGTGCACGCGACAATCCGAAAGGTAATATGGGATATGATGAATACACTGTTCCTGACACTGTAGCTGTCGAACTTAGTTTTGTTGCTTTCCTTTAGCACTTTCAAACATAAGTCCATGGCCTCTTGTGCCATTTTTCAAAATTTCTTTGAAGAACAGTGAAGTCTAAACCACCCACAATACCTTTCGGGATTGTCGCGTGCACTTTTTCCGACAACCTTTCTCGAAACAGCTGTAGATCTAGAAACAATCAGACAAAGAAACTTCAAGTATTACCAATCCTGGCAAGCTATTTTAAGCGCTTTATGTTTGCATCAAGACCATGGTTCTCCGGTGTATACCTCATCTTTTTTAGGTATCCTGTGTGAGTGTGCACTTACGCGCAGTATTTTATGTTTACCAGTTTAGGTTTCTAAGATAAGGGGCTGCGAAATGTTTTATTGTTTGGGTTCATTAAAATTCGACTTTGGGCATCCGGTTATGATCTGTTATGTTTCTGTTTTTTCAGGCCATTTCTTTGCTACACTTAGAGTTGTTGTCCTAGCTCTTTTCTACGGGGACTTGTATTGCAGTTAATGAGCAAAGTCAGAAATGACAAATTTAAACCGGAAAAATTCCATGCCGTAAACGTAGGATTCATGAGTTTCACTCTAGCTTGTTGATACTACCGCGTCTCTCTCGTAATGTGAACCATTTACTTTTATACCTACAGCAGCGCAGATTGACAAGCAATCCGTTGTCTCAAATGAAGATCTCGACTACATTGAGATGCGTGCTTTGTTGGAAACACAGAGAGAAACTGTTGGTAGCTTGGGAACAATTCCATTCTAAAAACATTTGTTAGCTGGGGAATGTAATTGCAACAATACAGAACAACAGGATCACTGGAGCGAGGATCCAGATCTAAAGATGTTACGGTGACTTGCTTAGTCTGAAATGTTATACGTCTTCACCATTTCAGACTACGACTTGCTACGACTTGCTTTGATTCGAAGGAATCAGTCCGAGCGGTTCCTTCCAGTGTTCCCCATTAGGGCCATTTATAGGAGAAAAAATAAGACGCGTCTTACATAGGACGCGTCTTAAGTAAGACTCGAACTTTTTGTATAAACGGCACATTTCGTCTAAAATAAGACGCGGCTTAGCTAAGACGCGTCTTATTTTAGAACAGTTCTTAACACCTGTTCTTAGATAAGACGCGTCTTAGCTAAGCCGAGAAAAACTTTGTATAAATGGCCTTCGCGTCTTACATAAGACGCGAACGCATAATACGCATGCGTAAATTTTTGGCGCGCCACGTTGTATTGCCGTTGCTACGGGCAACATTCACATGAAAACGAGTCAAGAACAGAAATAAGACGCGAACCATTTATACGAGCTGTTCTTGTCTTAGATAAGACATGCTCGTATAAATGGTACAGTTCGCGTCTTATTTAAGGCGCGTCTTATGTAAGACGCGTCTCATTTTTCCTCGTATAAATGGCCCTACTGTAATCACTATTGTCATGGACAAGGTTATCTGTAGTTAACATTTTAAAGCTCTCGGGGTCCACGCGACGAGACCTCAATTGTCCTTTGATAAGGTTTGATTTCGAAAAGTTTTTCTTTCGTTGTGCGACTGAATTTGCAGCCAGTTACCGATTTCTTGCGTTAAAACAGGGCTAAAATGATAATGAGCTTTAGATACAAGAACGAAAACGACTACGCGTACGAGATTTGACTTAAAGTTTTTTCGCGTACTCATAAAAAAATAGTCTTTACGGAAAGCTGCATCATATATATATATATATATTTTTTTTTTTCACGAGAAACGTTAGCACTGTTATCTTTATTGAAGGAGGTTAAGCCCTCTCCCGATCGCAAAATGATAAAACTTCTAACATTTGATAACTTGTTTCCGCCATTACGACATTCTTACTAAAACTCGTAGTAGAATGACGACGGCTATCTCGTTTTCCCGCTAAAATGACGCTGGCTCACGCGTGAGCACTAGTGAGTATCGAGAAAATCTCCTACTCATAGTCGTCCTCGTCTTAGAATCTAAAGCTCTCTAATAACAACGATAACGAAGACGATTTTTTTTCACATGAATGTGACAGTAAAGATGTAACCACCCGCAAATAAGTACAGCTGGTTTATAATATTCATTCCAAATTTTTCTCCTTTTTTGATTGGCTAAAATCCCACGCATAATTCATCATAACTAGCTAATGTCGACCAAATTTGGAAGAATTTTGCGGTATATGAAAAGTAACGTCAATTGTGCAGCATAATTGTCAGAAAACTGAACAGTTAACCGGGAAGACCTGGGGACGAGGTTAAGTTGTTTTGGTAGAGAGAAGGTAGAGAGTACAAAATGGCGTTTTGTGGAGGACGTGAACACAGACAACGACTTTATTTATCCTTTCCTGAAATTCGATACAGTCTTTTAAATTTCAACTCCAGAAAAAATTGCCCACATTTGACGAATTGAACGAAATGGAATAAGCGCGATAAAGTTTGAAGCAGCGCGAATTCAATTTTTAAATGACGTTTTCGTAGCTGTCGCCGTGGTTGTTCCCTAAGCTCACGAACTAGGTAAACGTCTATCGAAAACTGATTCAATATCGTATCCGTAGGGAAAGCTTATAAGGTCCCCAGCTGAGCAATATGATGTCAAATTTAGTTTTATCTGTCGTACAAAGGCAACGATGGAACCAAAAACGTTGTAATTATTTCCACTTAAAATATTAAAGTATAGAATTGACCAAGAAATTTCATTATTTCACAATGTAAATAGTTCAATTAACAGAGATTAGGAAAACATAGATTTCATTTTATAATTATTTATATTTATAGATTTTATGATGCTGAAGATGTATGAGTGTTTTTATAAAATATATTGAAAAAAATTTGTTTTTGTGTCTTTCTTTCAATTTAGCCTGTCCCTATAATGCTAGCGAGATTTTCGGTTTGTTGTTAATAGCAACTGGAAATTATAGTGAAATAGTTTCTTATTTAGAAAGTCATTTTTCCATGTAACTAGCCACATTTTTTAAAAAATCTTAATGCCACTAAAGGTATAACCAAATTACTATTTACACGCCCTACCTAAATGTACCATCAAAAAATTGCAGTTTAAATAAAAATTCATGGAAATATATTTTTGTATGGTTTAATTTTAAAGGTGTTTTTCTCACACCAATCATAAAACTCTTTTCACCTCCAACTAGAGCGGAATTTAGATAGTGCGCAAAAACAAAGAGTTTTATGAGCTTGTTTAGGTAGGTGTCCTCCGCAAATAGAACTTGATTGATTAAAACCGGTTTGGGAAACCGCAATTAACACCAGTAGTGGAAACCGGCTGAGAAGCGATTGGCAAGCAGGGAAGAAAATGTTTGTAATTTAATTATCCTTGGTCTAATTTGAGTAAAAGGTTTGTGTTGTTTGGTTACATGCTTATTTCGTTCTGCTTGTGATAAGTTCTGATCACAGTGTCTTTCAAGTCTCTTACATTCTACCTGTTTCTAATGTTTTTACTGGATAAATCAAGAAATTCTGTAAGTAAGATTTCTTTTTTTTCTTTATATTTTGAAACGGATTTGCTATTGAAAAATCTAATTTCACCATATGTATCAAATTCCATCTTTACAAACAATAGGTGAATATTGTGTCGCGTTGCTAAAACGTGCTAGAGAAAGTCCCACAAATTTACTTTCACCAGTAAGGGGTTTTGTTTTCTTTCTCTTGGTTTCATTAGGCTAAGCGATTAGTTTTGATGATATTTTAATATTGTTTTCATATACCAAGGAGAAATAATTTTTTTCCCATTCAGTTAATCGGTTAACGTATCCAACAAAACCTTGACACATCGAAAAGATTAGATTTTGCTGAAATCCGTTGCTATGAGAAATCAAAACCTTTTAATAACAGAAGAAAAACATCGAAAAATAATTTAGTTTTTACTGCGCTTTATTAGAATAGCTGTTTTCGTTTACTTTCTATCTCTTTCTTTATCCTCTCAGTGAAGCGATTTTAACTACTTCTCTTTCTTGTTGTTTGTTTGTTTTGTTTTTGTTTTTGCTTTTTTTTTTCCAGCTAATTGATAAGCTAGCCAGGACGATTAGTCGTATTCACTTATTGTTTAGTCCCATAGCTGGTCGTTTCAAGACTTAGGTCATAACATAAACCAAATATATGTTCTTCTTTCTTATTTACCAAAAGCCGGTGCTTGGCCGAGCACTTCTTACCCATTACTTTTCGAATCGTTTTCTTTATCACGATCACGGTCATCACGAATACCAGTACTCCTTTTCACAGAACTTTAGAACGCGTAACGAAGCGTGCGGAAGGCTCCCATAGATCCAGCCCTTTACGTTGACCCGTATCAAAACATGTGGCTATCTCTTGAATTAACTTTTTGTTACTTAATTATCTTTTTACTAACACGGTACTATACGCAAGGTAAAGGTCGTTGTTTCTTCCAGCGAGGAATAAGATGTTGAAGTGTTTTTTACCTCGACCGCTCGCAGTAAACAGCAAGAGGTACAAATCCGAAGATTAGGCAGTGGCATTCGGCCGCTACTGCCTAACTCCTAAACTTGTTTCCGAAAATAACTTGACAATTGAGAAATGTGTGGTGGATACACTCTCTGGTCTCTCTGATCCCTTGATTCTCTCTTGTGCAAGGTAAGTGCCTGGAATCCTGAGATTATACTCGTGCAGCTTAAGCCTTCTGAGATGTTTCGACGAATCGCTTCGAAGGTTTACCTGACTATATATACACACGTTCAATAAGTGTTTTTCGATCGAACAGGAGTTGGATAAAACAGGCACGAGTCCAAGCTAGCTTGAACTTTTTGTTTGTTTTCAGTTAGAGGAACTGAAGGAAGTGTCCCATACTGCACAGGAAGCGAAGCTAGACAGAGAGCTACTTCGTTTTGAGGATATGCTCGAGTTGTTTCTTGCTGATAAAGACATGTTTTTGGAGGATCTCTACAGGCGGCTTAAACAAGTTACTTCCCTGTGGAGATCGTGGAGGGTTCAAAGATTGCGTGACGTGCCAGTAACCCACCTTGTGTCCACAAAACAGGTAAGGATCGTGACATTAGAACTTGGGTAAATTGAAGTGCTGATGTTGACATGCCCTTTTCCCTCTCCCTTTCCATTGGAAGAGAAAAAGGGAGGTACCAGAGCAGAGTGATCCAAGTTAGGTGTCCTTGATTGTGGGTTGGGAAAAAAAAAGCTAAAAAAAAATATTATGCTGATGTGCACCTCATGATTGAGTGCCATATAGTCTCCACCTTGCGCACCAAGAGGAGGCTGGACATAAATTTATGAAAAAAATATATTACTCTCTTGCAAGACGGCCCACACTGGGCTACGTGCATGCTTCCCGGTTCGGTCAAATGTTTGCTGCAGTTCTCCTTCTTTATAGTTTATCGTGACCAATGGAATGGAAGCATGAAAAAGGCCATGTAATCATTACGAATGAATTTTGAGAGGTTTTCTCGACCATGCTTAACCGAGCGGTGACGTCACCGATAGACATCCTTGCTCGGCCCGTTTAAAGTTCGCGCGGACAACAAAGCAAGAATTAAACATCCCTTTTTAGATCAACAAGATACTCGTCAGTACTTTTAACATGTGATTTCCTTTATTAAATTTCTTGTGTTCGACCGCAACACCAAGTTGAGTAAAAGCCTAAAATAAAAGTGAGGTATATTCGCCGTTCAATATTACTGTGATAACTGAAGAGCTATAATTTCGTGCCTTTTTTGTTTAAATCTAAAGGTAGAAAACCTTATTTATTGGGAAAAAAATCTTCCAGGGAAAAAGACGGCGGCGAAGTTGAAAGTTGGCAAGAAAAGACCAGATGACATGTTGGTTAGATTTCTACAATCCTGCAAAGAGTCCCGCCAGCTCTATAGACAATTTTTTTTCTCGATATACACACCTCTTCACCAACTTTTCGCTGACGAAAGAGCCGCGTCTATAGAAAAGGAACTGGAACGAATCCTTAAACAGTGGAGCTCTCTCCTCGTACCAGGCCCCATTAATCACAGAATGCTGAGCGCAGAGAGCTCCGAAGCAGTTTACAATATGAAGATCACAAACAAACCACGTGACACGCGATTTAACCTCATTTTGAGACTAGTGCCAGACTTTGCCGTGAAAGGTTATAAAGTTCTCTTTCTTGCACGTCAGTGGAGAAATATGTTGGGTTCATCTGGTTACTGGAGGGAGTTGAAATTCATCCACAGCAAGAAGCAGTGGGCCTCAAGGCCTGAACGCTCCTACTCGAGTGTTTGTAGCAGTACATTTCATAAGTTAGAAAAGGAGTTGACCTGTTTTGGAGAGGGCGAGATGACGGAGTCAAAAGGTCGTGTAAGGAGAATAGGCAACCGAACAGCAACACGTGACCATGAAGTGCTTGGAACGAATATGAAATTTCATTCGCTAAGAGAAACCGATGAGAGATTCCCCTGCTTGGCCTCATTTAATTTAGACACGAACAAGAAACGAGGAGAATTTTCAAGGATGGATCTAAAGCGAAAACAGGTCAAAGTACCGAGAGTCAAAACAGAAATTCTCGATAGGAAACTAAGATCGCGTTACACGGCCGAGAAAACCGTAGAGGGCCCGTTGTTCCACACTTTAGCTGTTTCGAGGACGAAATGCTGGGGTTCAAGAAATGAGATTTCGAACGAAAAGCAACAAAATAACTTGGCTGATCATCAATATCTGAAGTCACTCCAACGCGCCCAAACAAAGTGATCATCAGAGAAGCTATTGCGAGGTCATTCAGACTATGGGGTATCATGTTATTCCAAATGTGTGCAGTTACTCACGTTTTTGAAAGGCGAGGAACTTGTCTAATTCTTATCGACTGAAACAGATTAACCCAGATTTAGTGACCAGCCTTTTCAGCAAAACCTGGGTTTGCCGGGGGTTTTCATCAGTTTTCACGGGCTCATAAACCAGATTTTAGTCGATGTCCTTTCAAAGGGCGGGAAAAACGCACAAGATGGGCAAAAATGCCTTCGTTGATTGGTTATCTTGGTATGTGCGCTGTCTCTAGCGTCGCGTGGAAGAAAGGGCCAAAACCCGACTATACCTTCAATTCATCATCGCAACATCCGCTACACCAAGAAATTGCAAGTTTTTTAACCTAGAAATCTGTGTTCACGATTAGCCTACGCTGCCAGAAAGTAAAGAATTTGAAGACTTTGTGACGGTCTTCCAAGACGCATTTATGTAAGATATAGACAAGCAGGTGTAAATCATCACTATAAGTTATGATTACACTTTAAGTTACTGTAGCTTTCTTAAAGCGCCTTACACATTTATTTCCTTTGGCTTCAAATATATAACAACCTGGTAACAATGTCATCACCTTTACATCAGCAAAAAATAGTCTTTATCCTACAAAATCCATTGAACAGGAACCAATTTTGGGATAATACATCAAAATAACGAACGTATAGAAGAATGATTAAAGGTTTTCTTGCACACTGTTGAAATAATACGTACATTCACCTATTGGGTCATGTTGTTGTTATTGTTGTTCTCTACTGGTAGTATTATCACATTCCTAGCCTTGTGATATTACACTGATATTCTTTTTGAGTGTTTTCTTATCTACCTTTGTATCTACTAAAGGTATCTACTTAAGTTGAAGTGAGCTGTTTCATTTCTCTAAAACGAAAAAAAAAAATTACACCCGAGGATGAAATGAAACCGATTTGGCTTCTATTCTTTTGAACACTACAATGTGTCTAAATATAACTCTCTACGAGCCTTAAACCAGTTATTGCTAACTTTGGTTTACACGAGTTTGAAAAACTTTAGTTCTGCCTGCATCTTTCCCAGTCTGTTTAATTTCCACGGGAAAGTTGTTTAATTATAAACCCGGCGGGAAGCAGCTGGAAGAGCAGACTACACTTACGTGCAGCTTAAGATGTTTGATTATCCACTGAGGCCATGTACAATACTCCATTTCGGAGTTCCTCCGGGCCTCTGTATCAAAACGAGGTTAAGTGCTCATCCTTTGATATGGAAATGAATGTTCATTCTCATGCAAATAAAACTCACTTTCACAAGAAAGGTTGTGCACTTGGCCTCATTTTGAAAGTGAAGGTTTTTGGAACTCGGAAGTGGCTTATTTGTAACGTTAATGTTCTTAACAGAATTTTTCCTTTGATTGTTTGTTTTTGTTTTTGCATTTTTGCATATGCATTCATATAATAGTAAAGAGGGAAAAATGGGAAAAAAAGTTTCCTTAAGTAAAAAGGGGTGGCCTGAAATGGTTAAACAAACATATCAAGCTAAAAAGGTCTCAAAACAAAAACGTGGTAACGTGATGACTTGCAACGGTAAGCTGCGTAAAAAATAATATATAAATTTATAGTTATATTATTTAGGGAGTTTTTGCCTTCACGTGCACATTTTTTCCAAATACGTAAAAAAGTGAATAACCTTAAAGATCTTGAAACCTTTTGTTTAAAAGATTTCGCGAAAGATTAGAATGTCGTTTGATCATGAAGCAGTGCTAGCGAATGTTGCGGTAATCTCAGCGAACATCTTCATGAAACATGTTTTGTTTCAAACATAGTTTTTGATAACGTTTTTCTTGGTGTCTATTCGGGACCAGATTTCTCTCTGATTGAAAGAGCACAAGAAGCTGAAAGTAGTCAGGTATATTGTTGCTAAGACGTTAATGTCTCACTGTAATTTCTAGTGGCTTTTTTATATGTACAACATGAACAGTAAATGTAAATAATTCCGAAAATGACTGATGGCCCTCTGCCGAATATATGAGTGCACTGAAGGCTTGCTATGGCACTCTTGACTGATTGATTCCCTACAGTAGAGTAGGCACTGGCTTTGGTGAAAGCAGCTGGAAAGCAAATAAATTAAAAGAAATTACGTTTTATGTTTTCTAGCATTGACTTAACACTAACAACATGATAGCTATTGACAGAACCATAACCATGTAAAACTAAGCTTTTGTTTATCTTCAACTGCCCATTTACACTGTAGCTACATATCTTGACAGAATAAATAGAAAGAGCCAACCCCCTTAACCCCGAAATCAAGGATGGAAGCTGTCGTGAATTGTCCTCATTAAAGTTTTCCTCAACAAGTCTCAAAACCAACTTCGCACACTCACAACCCGTTCTTACAAAAAAAAACCGTACCTCACGAGTGGCACGGATTTATATATCTGAAAACAATACTTCTGTTATCATGGTTGTAGTTTTAGAAGTTTACTTCACTGTTTATTTTTGAATTTTCCAACATTATATTATTTCAATTTCATAGCATTTGCCTTAGTTGCTTTAAAAAATCTTTCGGTCTGACGGGTGTATTAAGAGGGATCCCAAGACCCGAGTCCAGTACCCGAATACTTTCCGTTTAAGTCTTACCTTTTAAAGCTTTGATTCGAACATATCCACGACACTGTCCTTGACGGGGTTTCCTAGAAAGGGAAGGAAATTTAATCATTATTGTTCATTCAAATTAAATTCTCTGCCGCTAATAGACCATTTTCGATATACTAAAATTCACTCTTGGCTCCGAGGTGTGGGGGAATAAAACAAAAGAAATGTGTTATTCATTACTGAGACAACCCGCTGGAGCTGACCAAATTTGGAAGTGAGTACATTACACCATAGTTGACGTCAGTCACTCTGACGTCGATGATCTTATATTGCAATTATTGACGTCGTACAAGACCGCGGCACGGTAGCTAATATCTGTCTTGGCGTTTAATACTGCAGAGCTCAAAAAATGCGAGACTTCACGGTTAAACTGTTTATGTCGCTGTCGGTAATTTTTGGATGCTTATAAGTATTTGTAGAAACTCGTGAGGGGTTAACCCCTTATGACTTTCTGGTATTTGATCAAAGATAACAAGACAGAACAATACCCACTGTTCCCAAATCAAGGTCTTTTTTTGATACGTAGTCTAGCACATTATTACGTAAATTATAAATAATTCAAGGAAAGAAAACAGACAGATTCACTTTCTTAGTATTATGGGCCCCACTTTTTTAAATAGACTAAAAATGGGGTAATAATCTTTTTGTCAGCTTGTGGCTTGGATAAAATATTAATATTAGTGACTTTGTACGACAACAGTTAATAACTCAGCGAATTTTGACTATGGGGCCAGTTTAGGAAGCATTGTGACTAATTTCGGGAAAAAAATTGTCAGATTTCCTTTTTTAAAAGTGATGGAAAATATCAAATTCAATACATGTTGCTTGGAATTGCCTGGAATTATAGAACCATTCGTGGTTAATAAAAGTCAGCTTAACTTACTCATTTCTCGTAAACACGCCTTTTCTTTACACATGCACCTTCCCCCAGCGAAAAATTCGAGAATATCTTCTAGTTTTTCATCGGGTTTGCACACTGGGTTTTTTGGTGTTGTTTTACATAGAGGCCTGCACCGAGTTTTCCCATTCTTCCTGCAACGGCACTTGAGCCTGCAATCTTTGGTAATGAACACGCGACCACGCCTGTATTGCCTACCGTCTACCCGACAAAACTTTTCCTTGGGAACTAAAATGAAATGATAATGTTAGAAGAAGTTTAAAATCACAATACAGACAAATCCGGATTTGCTAAACCCACTGGAAAAAATGAAATGGATTCAAATTATCGGAACGTAAGGGAAACCGGGGGTTCGAGAAATCAGCATTCTTCAGTATGAATTCAGTTTCATGATTAAGTAAACCTCTGTACTCCAGCAATTAAATCCAATATCCTAGGGACGAAGTAATTCTGATTTCCATTGTAAGTCCTGCATAATGCTGGTAAGATTAAGAATATTTCAGAACGTTTGGAGAATTTCAAAGTTTTCCCGATGAGCTTAATTGTCTAAGAACATCCCAGTCTACTTATACAGCGCCTCTAGAAGGCTCCTCTTTGCTGGGTGGCGGGCAGCGATAAAAGGCCGCCGATGTATTTGCAGACTCGGTTCACCCTATTTTCCTTAAAACAATCAGTATGTCCCAATTATAGGGTTTTTTACTGTCTCCTATGTGATGGCGGTCACGACAGCTTACTTACCAGGCACACATTCCTGTATTTCACAAGAACACCCTCGTGTTTCTCCCAAAGCAATAATGCCTCTCCCTTTGGGCCGCTTTCCCCTGCCACATTTTATCTTTGGACACGTGGGTGTACACAATATTTCCCCGTTCTCATTGCACCTGCAACTCTTTGAGCAATTTCCTAAAGTGAAGGTTTCGCCAACTTTGTATTTTCTGTTGGTATCAGGACTGTCGCAGAAAACTAGAGAAAAATAAGAGAACACATTATAGCTAACTAGTAGGTTTTTCAATCCTCTTAGTTAAAGAGATCTGTAAATAAAACGTGATTTCTGAATTTCCACTTTTATGCCTGATAGTTTGCGATATAAAAATGAGCGAGTAGTTTCTCTTTTTGGCGCCGAAAAACAAGGGAATGTCAATATCGATCTGTGCACTAGCTGGGCCTGCATGGAGTCCCCACATTGGTTTATGGGATAAGCTACCACTTCCGAACCTTATTGGAAAATCACGTCCCCAGCTAGACTCCAACTAGATTTCGGTTCCTGCATAATCTAAAATAAGGGCATCACGATCAAACGTTGGTCACTATCAATTTATTTTCAGTGCATGAAGAACTAGGACTGTTTACAACCTAAACATAAAAGTGCCGTACCATTTCTCAGTAAAGGGGTGGTGAAGCTATTTAATCGTGACCTTTTCACGCGCCTGTTCTGTTTTCTCCGCGCTTCGGGTGATTATGGTTGGTTAAAGACATAAAGTTCCTAAAACAAGGTGTCACTCGTTTTGTTTTTCTGTTTATTCAGTCCCTTTAGGATCGCAAGGGAAATTTTTTATTTTCTGTGCTTGATTTATAAGACTAGCCCTATAAAAGCAGCCTGTTTTCGTCTAATTTACCAAGTTTTAAATAGTGTTAATTCATTTTGATTAACAAGATGCCTGACAAACGAAAAAACCAAAAGAAAACCAGTTATAATACTGTAATGAATTCCTAGAGTTTTATGATTATATATCTTTAACTACGATTTAATTAATGAAGTGATACCTTTTATATAAAAGAACTATTTTGTCAGTTTATTCCTTCTACTCGATCGCATTCTTGTTTTGGGTGACCTACTCAGTTAGTTCTATAAACTATTTGGGTTTCCCAAACTCTGCACAATTGACCTAAAATTGAATCTTTCAATGGTTTTCCTTCGCACTCTTTTATTTTTATATTTAAAAGCACTGATTTGTATTAATTAATATTCTGTGAGTTAAAATAAAAATTGACTTGACTTGAATCCTTAGCCATTCTCTCTTGTCCCGTTGTCTAAGTGAATTCGCCCTGCCTCAAACTTTATCGCGCTTATTCCATCTTGTTTAATTCGTCAGATGGTGACAAATTTTTTGGAGTTGAATTATTAGGGACTGTGTCAAAGTTCAGGAAAAGAAAAGAAAGTTGTTGTCTTGTGTTCCCGTCCTCGACAAAACGTGAAATTAGGCACTTTCACGTTGTAGTCGTGCAACGACAGCTAAGAAATGTGCAAAAAAGCGTGATGCACGTGCAAAGTTGTTGTGTTGACAATCCAAACCTATTGCTTTTTTGTCGTTCTCGATGCCGTCGCCGTCCATGTTGCTCCCTGGTCTCTCTCGGTGACGTCACAGCTCACAGTAGAGTCCAGGATTGACCGAGCCGAGAACGCCTAAGGACTAGGCTGGCCCTAAAGGTTTGGCTGATGTGTGTGTTTGTGTGTTAGGGCTCCTACGTTCAAAACATTTGCCTCGGAAAATCTCCTTACGTCTAAAAGTAAATTTAATTTTTCATTTATGTCTGATAACTAATTAGCGTGAATCCTCCTGATTTCTTTACCCTCGATGATGTATGTGTGTTGGTCAGGACGTCATACAACAAAAGTACTATTAAATTGCTTAATGTTTTTTCTTCGCCTGGATACGACAAGAGATCTTATTAAAAATTACGTGGCGCTGCCAAGGTAGGAATAGGTATAGGTATAAGGAATAGGTATAAGGTATAGAAACAAAACTGGCCGCACATTTATCGTTTAAGTGTGTAAACAGCTCGGGAGACTTTCGTGCGACACAAGATAAAGCTGAACCCGAGCTGGGTGGGCTTATCGACTCAGAAACAGCTTTTTAGTACAATCGGTAATCCACAGCCGAGCACAAATGAAATCCTTCCGTAAATCGCCCACTTAAATTAAGGTCAGTTTTTAGCGTTCGTTTATCGAGTTGAAATTTCGAATTACTCGCTCGATAATCCCATCGGAAAACCCACTGGATCAAAACAGCAAATGATTGATGAAATGCAAAAAAATTTCACAGGGAACAAAAACGGAAAATTTACTTCCAGTAGTATGACTTTATACAGAGACAAAAAAAGGCAAAACTCAATTGCATGATACATGCCAAACATCCGGCCTTCGCGAATTATACCGCACACATTTTACACTACACTTGGTTAATTGGTTAATTAAAAAGCGCTAAAGCGAGAAAAGAGGACCAAATTGGTTCTTAAGTGAAGTTTTCGAGCTCTTTTGATAACTAGCGACCTCGAACCTTTGTTATTACACCAAATAAGAAGCAAATACCCCTTTATTTGCTCAAAACGTGATGTGAATGACTTCAGTCAGCGCGGCACTCGAAAGAAAATGATTTCCCACTTACAGGTAGAATTACAAGTAACTCTCTTTGCGGCTTTTTAAGTCAAGAGGATTAGAGGAGAGGAAAGTATGCTCAAAAAGGCCGACTTGTTACAGTACATATCCGATATCATATGCTTGCTTCTTAAACACGAGCTTAAAGGGTTTTACTACTTACACATCTAATGATGTAATAGTGTCCTAGATTCAAAAGCTAACAGAACACGGCACAATGAATAAGTGTGCATCGTCGAACTTCATTGAAACATATTTATTAAGGGAATTTCTGTTTTCCAACGGTTTTTCAAGACATGTGGTATAACTTCCTCTGGCAGTGAATAAATGGAATATTTTCTAACCGTGCTAGCGCCATACATACTTAAATCACAATTGGTTAATAACCGCGGTGTCTGTGTATTGTGTATTTACTTTTCGGAGTTATTACACCAGGCTTTCCTAGAATGTATTATATTGCGCTTAATAAGGTTACAAAATTTGTACAAAGAAAGTACCGAAAAACAGCACGCAAAACAGCTGCATTAATCTTTAAGGTCATGTCAACTTCAACCAAAGTGATTCGAAGAATAGTTATTGGCAAACATGCCAAACGCTTAAACCAGCCAAAAAGGATTACTGTAACCGCATGCCTTCGCTAGTTGAACTTTTGATTTAGTACACTCGACAGTTCCCTGGCAAGTGAATGCGGATGTTTAGATCGAAAACCGTAAAATAAAGAGCAATACGAAAACAACTGTCGCCTTGAGGTGTAGGGAAACTAGCCTTAACTTCCTCAGAGGTTGAAAAGGAAAAGAGAATTTAGACAAGCGAAATCTATCTTTGTATGAATGATGTCTGTCGAGGACTGTTTTGCGCAACTTATGATAAGCCGGTTTAAAACTCTTCCTGGGGCAATTGCTAATTAGCCAAACGTGAGAAAATCTAAATGCTCAGGACTGAGTTGTTCAAAAGCTGGATAGCGCTATCATGATCCACTGGATAAATCACTATCCAGTGGATAAATATTGTGCTATACTGTGGATAGAGATTTATCCGCTGAATAGCGCACCTTTTGAACAAAAGCGGCCAGTTCTCTAATAAACTGTTACTTCTGGATGAAAGGCGCTAGTGCTCAGTTGTTTTCTCTGCGTTTTTTCTTCTTTATTATAATGAAGGTAAGTATGTTGCCAAAAAGTACCGTTTAGTGGGACGCAATATTGCCGTTTGCAAGAGCAATGGACTCCTCCTGAACCAACTGGAACCTCATCCTCATAAAGCTCTGATCCGGGGGAGCACTGATCAGGTGACGCTTGTGGACAGAGTTCCATGCAACTAACCACACCACTAACGCTGCAATAGCACTGCAATGTACAGTCGCTTGTAATGAAAGAAGAATTTACGGGGTGCGGGTTCCGATCTCCTTTGATCACGCAGCTGGTCACATCTAATGATTAAAACAAAAAAGAATTTGAAATCATGACTCGCATTTAGCAAGTTCTTGTTACTACAAAAACAATACTTTAGAGGCTTTAAGCATCACCTTTTGAACTTGCATCTTGTGATAAACTCCTGGCGATAACTACAATGAAAAAAATTAACAGTTCAGATTAGTAATAAATAAGCAAATTAAGAGTTAAAACGGAACACGATTCTTTCCGCGTTTCTCGGAGAATAACGACTAGTCAAACTTCCTCAGGGGGAAGGTATAGACGGAGTTATAATCTCGATAGACGCCCAACGCCCCTTGTGTACAAGAATCACGTAAGGTGTGGCACTTAATTGGCTTGATTTACACTAATTCATGACGAGTAGTAACAAGAAAGATATGTAAAGAAGCTCTTTTCCTGGAGAGACTTTCGAACTATCGCGGAAGGGAAACATCAATTAATACATCTAAGGTTTCGTGCAGAAATGTAGTTTTCTGGATTTCGTCTCTGTAATTCCGTTTATTGAGATTAAATTATCCTTTAACCTATTCTCTTTCGGTTTCATCACCTTTTTGCCCTAAAAACTCTCCAAGTTTGTTTTCTCTGTCTTTTTTTTTTCTTTCAATAAAGCAAGCCTATCTTACACTTTTTCAAAGACTGGTGTTTTAACTGGCAAGCAGAATTTAATACATTTTTAAGATGTTAGCAAATTAAAAATTTGCTTTAAAGCTTCAAAGACAGGAAGGAGGGAAAATTGAAAAATTAAGTGATAATGACAGGCTGGCCTTTTTGCAACAATTGGCAGTGAACGCTCCTGTCAAGAGAGTGTCAGGCAATGAAATGTATACCCTTCACGCAATCTCACTTTGAAACTTAGTAGGTTCTTGTTCTGATGAGACAAGAAGCAGATGGAAATGTAGGAATAATGACAAAACAAATTCCGGAAGCCTTTTGCTTTTTTTCTCTGGTCAATATATATTTTCCACAATCTCATGTAGCAAAAGACAGAAAATTGAAATTGAGCTTGAAAGAAGTACGTGTTACTGGTAGATACTACTAATGACGGAAGTGTTTTGTTTTCTGGACAGTCAGAAATCGTTTCTTACCTGACAAGTAATTAGGAAAAACTTAAGACTTTTATTGTAAAGGAAAAGGGCGTAAGGCAAGCTTTATTAGCATCACCTTTAATGTCTGCGAGGGAGTACAGTTACAACTTTGTCACCTGGTGATAAAAAAGGGAATTGGCATCACAGCCCAGGGCTTCTAGTCTGCCAAATGCCTTTTCGCATTCTCAGTAAACTAGTACCACGGAAAATCTGGTGATATATCAGTTTACTTGGTAAGCCGATTAACAGAGCCACAGAAATTCCGTTTCGTCGTAATGAGAAATGGCCACTCAGCGCGCAATCGTGCTGTTCTACTTGAAGTTGTTTTTGTTTTGTCAAAGGGTGTCGTCAAAATATGCTAAGCTGTAGACGTAATGAGAGAGGGATGTCGTCAATGTCATAGACTTGTTTTCCACCTACCTTCAGCGCATGCAATCGGAACAAATGATACATAAACAACACAAGGATTATTAGGAGATAGTAAAAAGTCGAATAAAGGTTCGAAAACGCCTTTTTCCTCTTTCCGTGCGAACTAGGGCTTAACCGCCTTAAACGTGACCAAAAGGCGGCAGTCTCCCATCCTTGCTGAGTTGAGTGTTTTCTTTTCAACTATTCATTAATTTCATCTTTTTGTATCAAACGAAATTTATAACCGATAAGTCAACATTTTTTTTTTGCGGTCCGGCTTTCCATAAAGGACGATAAAAGTTAATACTAAGCTGAGCTAGACTTCATGTGGGTGTTGTATCAATTGGCAAGTTGACTTTCGTTGAAAGTTTTGCCTTGCCACGCCATATAACTATTTTACATTGTCAACTGAATGATTGTGATGACAAAATAATTCCATTGTCTGTTCGCTACTTTTCTAATGCAATGCTTAGTACGCTATGGCGCATGTCATAAAGAAAAAGTCAACAAAAATGTATTTCTTGCGTTCTAGGTTCTTCTAAGTTTGTTTTTAAATCGTCTTTCATTTTCGACCATTGTAACCTACGGTAAACCCGCTGTAACATATGATTAAGTTATATAATTTGTTTAAGGACTATTGCACAATTCTCGATTGGAAATTAACTAAGGCCACAGTCTGTTCCATAATCACTTAAAGTTCTATTGCCTGCAGTTAGGCAGGAAATTCAAATACTTTCAAACTAGGCATTTTTTATTCTCACCTGAACAATGTTTTCCAAATGTCGCAAGGAACAAAACCAGAATCTGCAGTGGCAAAATATACATCGCTGTCTTGGAGGATCTTTTAAGTTTCAACCTAGAAAAAAAGCCAAATTTTAGTGGTATTTCTATTTAGCGACCAGTCGAGAGATAGCCAGACTTGCTTTTCGCGCACACCGTGTATCTAATACTATGCCGTAAATCTTCTACACTCCCTACGATCTAATTTGTATAAGTACGCATTTTTGAGAAAAAAAGAAAACAATTACCACAATACGAACTTGTTGACCATCCGATGTTATTGGTATCGTTTGACCAATTTCTTAATTCAATGAACACTTAATACACGTATGTACATGTAATATCAACGGCCAAAAAGCATCATGGATCAGTTCACAGGATATTATTTTCCTAAGCTGCTGGAACTGGCCCATTGGCTCTGGGCCGTAGGCTTTTCAATCCGTTTATATCAGTCGGCCTAACTGGGAGCTTTTATTTGACGCTGTGTGGGATAGTGTATAATAAACGGAAGTCATTAGATGAGAGAAGGGAAAGTGCGAATCGTTATAAAAACGTATGAAATACAATTAATTTAGGAGCCGAACACATTTTCGACACAGAAACACTCGATTAATTTGCTTAAATTTCAATCAAGTCTGAACCATTGGCGTCACTAAATGCCTTCTTTGTAAATAACTGTCCTTTCAAAGTAAAATTTTTTTAAGAAATGGTATCCAGCTTGAAATCTAGAGCGTTCGATAGACCAGCAGTCGTAAACATGACATTCCTTATAGGATTTTGGCAGTTCTTGTTTCTGGTGAAGGGATTTTCAGGATTTTGAAGGCGTTCTTTAGTCTTAGTTCTTTCACATGAATTGATACCACACGCCGAGATGGGCTAAGTGCTGCCCTGTACGATTAAAGGATAAAATCTACTGTACAAATACTCCTTTTGCGGTTTGCGTATGCAGCCATGTCCATCTTATACCTGTCGAAATGCGGCGTTTTATCACGAACCTCCAAATTGGCTTAGGCTGTAAACTGCATTTTTTTAAATGTAAAACGATTTGTTCATCCGGGGATATGATTGTCAATATTTCCTGTTCCTTTATCTCCTTTGTTATTTTTCCTTCTTTTTTAAAGTACACACAAGTGCTTTTATTGTCCGTTACCTTTTGCTTCTTATTTGCGGATGTTCAACTTTGCCTATTGTCCATTAAGTTTTGTCCTGAGGGCCCCGGAAGGTGAGATGATACGTACACCCTTGGTTATATTTCACCAATCTTAAGTTATAGAGCTTTTTCACTCAAGTGACCAGCAGCTTTGCAAATTTATTGGAACAGACGAGAGTTTTTACATGAGAAGAAGGTTAAAACTTTCAGGACTGGTTTGGGACACCAACATGGCCGCCGTTTCATTGTATTGGGACACCAATGTGTTCGCCGTGACGTCATGTGAAAATGCTCTTGTTCTGTTCTTTTTCTTGTATTTTTGATACTGTTTATTTCCCCCCTCAGTGTCTGTGTCAACCGGATAGACCTCACGACGAAACAGAGATATTTCAAACACAAGCGGAGAATGCTTTCGTGGTTTTAATGTTGCTTTTCTGAGCTCCAGTTCTTATTTGAAAGCTCAGTGGAAATTACGTTTTAAGGGTTTGGAAAAAAATTCTAAAAAATCGTTATGAGACTTATTTCTCCATGGCCAATGTTAAAATAGGTCCGCAATGCGTGCAGATGTGGCTTACGATTTACAAGGATAAACTTAAATGTTGTAAAAATTGAAAGGAATTAAGCAATGAAATGATAACAGACATAAATAAGTGAATAAATAAATAAATAAATAAATAAAAAGTAAAGATCGTTTTAGTGGTAGCATATTTCATGAAGTAGCTCTCGACTCGTCTACCTCAAATTCAGTTACCAAAGTCCTATCGAGTGAAAACTTTACCTTGGCACAGTTTTTTTTATTTTATGTAACTAAATTAACTTAATTCTGACTGATAACCAGGAACTGGCGGGATTACCTTTGGCCTAAATCCCTACCTATTAGTTACCCAGGCAACCATATTGTCCGTTTGATAACAATGGCTGATAATGACTTCGTGGATGGCTCGAGCAGAACTATTTAGACCCTGTTTACATAAAGTGGGGGACCCGGTCTGGTGGGGTAGGTTTCTTTTGTTTTGTGTCCTCCAGAGCGTGAAAACAAAAGAAACCAACCCCACTAGACCGGGGTCCCCCACTCCATGTAAACAGAAATCCTGACGGAATGTATTGTTTTCATAGAAAACATTTTAGCAGATGCCTTGGTTGAGCTGTTCGAGTGTTTTTTCATCTGCTGATAAATGATTTCGAGTTTTAGGTTCTACATGTACACAAGAGACTAGCGGCGGGGGGTGGGAGAGGGGGGGGGGGCGATTTGTGGCAAAAAGCCGGTGGCATGACCAACAGGCTCTTTAAGTCCTTTATCAATTATCTAAATCTAGAATTGGAGAGGAAACAGAAGGATAGTGTTATCATATTATCATTGTAATCATGATAAATTTCCGGAATTTTAAAGGTTGCGTTCGATTATCCGTATTCCGGGACAGCAATACAGATAAATTTTACAAATCCCTCTCACCTAGATTTTAGGAACCCCGGAATACCAGTGGCGGCCATCTTAACACTGTATTTCAACCAGACTTGCATTTTTTACGGTGTAACGAAGGCCTGAAGAAGCGAATTGATTCCTTTTATTCTTATTCCGG